TTTAACTGATTACATTCCCATGGTGTGTCATTTAACATATTTATCTATCTTCTCAATTTTCCAAAAGATGTAGAAACTTCATTAGATTTAGTTTCATTTTGGGGAAATGGGGACAAGTGAGACAAGAATAGTTCTTAGCTGGGGTTGTTTTTACTATAATAACTAGCCTCTTTATATTAAGATTAATTTAAGCACTATCAGCTTGGGCTGGGCAAGGTGGCTCATGCCTGTAATTCCAACACTTTGGGAGGCTGAGGCGGGAAGATGCTTGAGCCCAGGAATTCAAGACCAGCCTAGGCAACAGCACAAAACCTCATCTCTACAAAAAAAAAAAAAAAAAAAAAAAAAAAAAAATTTTTTTTTTTCTTAATAGCCAGACATGGTGGCAGTGCTGGCAGTCCCAGCTACTGAGCAGGTTGAGGTGGGAGAATCACTTGAGCCCAGGAGTTTGAGGCTGCAGTAAGCCATGACTGCATCACTGTACTCCAGCCTGAGCAACAGAGGGAGACACTATCTCTTAAAAAAAATTTGCTATCAGCCTTGTCCCTGCATTATAAAGCTCCCTATAAGGCTTTTATTCTTAATGATGATCATTTTAGATTCATGATTTCATTAGGGATTCCAAATAGTGATATTCTACTTTTATCATTCCTTCTGAATTTTCTGTCATCAGTTATTTGGTTAACCTGAAATAAAGATGATACAAAGAAGGCAGGCCAAATGAAATGCTTCATTCTTTACTTTTTTTTGAGACGGAGTTTCACTCTTTTTACACAGTTGCTGGAGTGCAATGACGAGATCTAGGCTCACCGCAACCTCCATCTCCTGGGTTCGAGCAATTCTCCTGCCTCAGCCTCCTGAGTAGCTGGTACTACAGTCATGCGCCACCATGCCCAGCTAATTTTTGTATTTTTAGTAGAGATGGGGTTTCACCATGTTGACCAGGATGGTCTCGATCTCTTGACCTTGTTGTGATCCACCCGTCTCAGCCTCCCAAAGTGCTGGGATTACAGGCTTGAGCCACCACACCCGGCCGATTCTTTTCTTTAAGACACTGTTGCCCAGGCAGGAGGATAGTGGAATGATCATTGCTCACTGTGGCCTTGAACTTGGGCTCTAATGATACTTCCATCTCAGCCACCTGAGTAGCTAAGACTACACGTGTGCACCACCACATTCGCCTATTATTTTTTATTTTTTGTAGAGATGGGGTCTTGCGATATTGCCTGGGCTGATTTTGAATTCCTAGCCTTAAGTGATCCTCCCGTCTTGGGCTCCCAAAGTGCTGGGATTATAGGTATGAGCCACTGCATCCTGCCCATTCTTTCCTTTATAAAGAACTGGTGCTCTAACAGCTTCAGAAGTTGACTAATAATGTTATGTGTTTTTGGCATATTTATAAACTCATGGATGTTTTTTAAATCAACTTTTGTGGTAAAATATACACACAATTTTGCCATTTTAAAGTGTACAATTCCGTGCATTAAGTGCATTCACACTGTTCTGCTACTATAACTGCTGACAGCTGTTATACCTTGGTTCTTGTCTTCTTCTTTTTTTTTTTTTTGAGACAGGGTCTGCTCTGCTGCCCAAGCTGGAGTGTAGTGGGGCACAATCACAGCTCACCACAGCCTTGACTTTCAGGGCTTAAGTGATCCTCCCACCAGAGCCTCTTAAGTAGCTGGGACTATAGGCACATGCCACCGTGCCTGGCTACATTTCGTATTTTTAATAGTTTCGCCATGTTATACAGTCTGGGGTCTTGTCTTCTTAGTTTAAAAGAATTTAAACAAGAGACACACAGCAAAGAAGATGCAGTATAGGGCAATTTATTGGAAAGGAAAAAGAATATTTTGAAAGTTAAGTGCAGAGTAGACAGTACACCCTGAAAGAGAAAGGATTTGCGGGGGCTACTCATAAGGACGAGACAGTGTTGATTATGGCTAAGGAGCTGGGAAGAAGTGTTACTAGGACGCATATTCTGAGTGGCATCCTGGCTGCATATGTACAGTAGTTGTACATGCTTGTTCATATGTTTCATGTCTTATTAGCATCTTAAATCTCCACCCAGGGATGTGTTTTTCACTATTACGACAAGCAAAGGGCCAGTTTTAGGACAGGTTAAATCAAATTCCCTGCTGAAGATCGCTTTTCTTGAATGAGCGTAACTGCAATGCAAATGCTAAGGCTTATTGTGTCGGTTATATGGTGGCCACAGTTGCCATGTCCCACGGACGTGGTCACTTCCTTGACCACACCTATCCTGCCTCATAACCACTATCCATTTCCAGAACTTTTCATCACCCCAAATTCTGTGCCCATTAAATAATAACTTCCCACTCACCCCTCTGTCTAGCCCTTGGTAACCTCTGTTCTACTTTCTGTATCTATGAATTTGGTTATTCTGGGTAGCTGGTATAAGTGGAATCATACAATATTTATACTTTTGTGTATGGCTTATTTCACTTAGCATAATGTCTTCAAGGTTCATCTATGTATCATGTATCAATATTTCATTCCTTTTTTGGGCTGAATGATATTCCACTGTATTTACATATTGTACCATGTTTGGTTTATCCATTCATCCACTGATGGATTCTTGAGTTGCTTCTACCTTTTGAGTATTGTTAATACCTTTCTTTAGCTTTTTGTGCTGAGTACATAATTGGTTTATTTTCATCATTTTCATTGATATAGATATTTAATGTTACTTATTTTCCTCTGAAACCTGTTTTAGTTGCATCCATTCTGATGTCAACTTTTCAGATTATTTTTTCAAGAAATTCTGTGATTTCAATTCATATTTCTTCCATGACCTAAGTTTGTTACAAAATGTTTTTCAAATTAATTTTTAAGGAAGTGTCAAATATATACAGAAGTAAATGGAATAGTAAAATCTATCTCTGTGCACTAATCACTCAGCTTAGAAAATTATCAGCTTATCAAATTTATTTCACTATCTGCTCATTTCCTTCCTGAAACTGTATTAGTCATGTATTGTTTGGCTGTATTGCGATGGGATATGTTCTAAGAAATACATCTTTAAGTGAGTTCATTGTTGGGTGAACATCGAAGAGTGTACTTACACAATCCTAGTTTGTATAGCCTACTACACACCTAGGCTATATGTATAGCCTATTGCTTCTAGGCTACAAATCTGTACAGCATGTTATCTTGCTGAAGATTGTGGACAATTGTAACACAGTGGTATTTGTGTATCTAAACAAAGAAAAGGTACAGTAAAAAATGTGGCATGAAAGACAAAAAATGGTCCATCTGTATAGGGCATTTACCATGAATGAAGCTTGCAGGACTAGAATCTGTACGAAGTGAGTCAGTGAGTGGTGGGTAAATGTGACAATACACTTAGGCTATACTAAATTTGCAAATAATATATATATATATATATTTTTTTTATTGAGATGGAGTCTTGCTCTGTCACCCAGGCTGGAGTGCAGTGGTGTGATCTCGGCTCACTGCAACCTCTGCCTCCCAGGCTCATGTGATTCTCCTGCCTCAGCCTCCTGAATAGCTGGAACTACAACTGTGTGCCACAATACCTGGCTCCTTTTTAAATAGAGATGGGATTTCAACATGTGGGCCAGGTTGGTGCTGAACTCCCAAACTCAGGCGATCCACCTGCCTCGGTGTCCCAAAGTACTGGCGTAATAGGTGTAAGCCACCACCCCCAGACAAAAAAATATTTCTTTCAATAATAAGTTAACCTTAGCTTACCGTAACTTTATAAGCCTTCACTTTTCTAACTTTTTGGCATTTTATAACACTTAGCTTAAAACACATCATACAGCTGTATAAAAACATGACATTCTTATTCTATAGGCTTTTTTCTGTTTTTAAAAAAATTACTGCCGAGCATGGTGGCTCAAGCCTGTAATCCCAGCACTTTGGGAGGCCGAGACGGGTGGATCACGAGGTCAAGAGATCGAGACCATCCTGGTCAACATGGTGAAACCCGTCTCTACTAAAAATACAAAAAATTAGCTGGGCATAGTGGCACGTGCCTGTAATCCCAGCTACTCAGGAGGCTGAGGCAGGAGAATTGCCTGAACCCAGGAGGCGGAGGTTGTGATGAGCTGAGATCGTGCCATTGCACTCCAGCCTGGGTAACAAGAGCGAAACTCTGTATCAAAAGAGAAAAAAAAAAAATTACTTTTTCTACTTTTTTTTTTTTTTGAGACGGAGTTTCATTTGTTGCCCAGGATGGGTGCAATGGCACCATCTCGGCTCACGGCAACATCCATCTCCCAGGTTCAAGTAATTCTCCTGCCTCAGCCTCCCAAGTAGCTGGTATTACAGGCATGCACCACTACACCTGTCTAATTTTGTATTTTTAGTAGAGACAGGTTTTCTCCATGTTGGTCAGGCTGGTCTTGAACTCCTAACCTCAGGTGATCCACCTGCATTGGCCTCCCAAAGTGCTGGGATTACAGGTGTGAGCCACCGCACCTGGCTTTTTCTTTTTAGTATAATCACCTGAACCTGGGAGGTGGAGGCTGCAATGAGCTAAGATTGTGCCAAGGCACTTTAGCCTGTGCGACACAGCAATACTCCATCTCAAAAAAACAAAATAAAATAATGGTACATAGTATATTAAATACATAAACCAGGAACATAGTCATTTATTATCCAATAGTATGTTACGTAACTGTATGTTCCACACTTTTATACAATTGGCAGTGCAGTAAGTTTGTTTAAACAAGCATTACCAAAAACAGGTAAGGTGCTGCTCTATGATGTTACAATGGTGATAGGATTCTCCTGCCTCAGCCTCCTGAGTAGCTGGGATTACAGGCACCTGTCATCACACCCAGCTAATGTTTGTATTTTTAGTAGAGATGGTAAGTAAGCCTCATGAAGGTAGGAGATCTATGTGTTTTGTTTACTGCACAATCCCCCAAAATACATAGTAATTGGCACCTAGTGGGTACCCTGTTAAATATGTATTGAAAGCACAACTGAATAAAGTGTAAACGCTTAAGTTATATATGCAAAATAATCTTGTTTATTAGAAAATGAACATTCACAATGTAAAGTAGATACTAAATTACAAATAAGTCTTCAGTAGTCAAAAATGGTGTACGGAATTTCTTTTCAAAATAAGTTAATCTATTCTTGAACAGAGGCAGATAAATAGTTTATCCTTGTTAAAACAAAAAATTACAGATTTCACTTTATGTAAGAGGTAAGTTTTATATGAACCAGAAGAGTTTATTTTTAAATGTAAAACTGAACAAGATAGAATGGAGTTGCTTTGAGAAGTTATAAATCCCTTCAAAATATGAAAATCATCCTTTCTTTTCAAGTTTAAATTTAGGCTTCAAAAACATATTTTCTCTTCTTAAATATGTACTACTCTTAACAATATATCATACCTTAAAATCTCCTGTCATCACTTTCTACTTACACTCAACTTGTCCTACTCAAGAAGACATCAACAGAGTGATTTTTTTCCTCAAACTTTACCTCCTTGCTCTTTTCCCAATCTCATGTTACTTCCTTTTGTCTTCTTTTGTGCCAAGATGAGCAAGGTATAATCCTCTAAAGAAGAAAATGCTCTCAATAAAAAGGAAAATAACAGTAATTTATGCAAGGTTATAGTTTATCTAAATTTTAATAAATATTATAAATCTTTGGAAGCTGGGAAACTTTTCTATGGTATTTTCTTGCTGGAAACAGGCTACTAAAAGACAAAAGCTCTAGTCAGTGGACTTATGTTTCCCAAATATTTCTGCTAATAGGAGTCACTGGTATAGGTAAGTTACCCTACAACTAGCAATTAATTGAAACTGCAACTTTCTGGGCTATTTTTATTTTCCTCACTATGAAAAATACAGTGGTTAAGACTGTGGACTTTAAGGATAGACTGTTACTTAGACAAGTAACTTCTCTGTGCCTCCATTCTTTCATCTATAAAATGGGAATCATAATAGTATCTTCACTTAATAAGACTGCTGTAAGAATTAAATTATATGTTACACATTACCTGGAATATGGAAAGCACTCCACAAATGTTTGCCCCATCATTTTCATCATTACTATTATTGCTGGTTATTTCTGTAATGCACACTATGCAAACCAAGGGTGGAATTTACTCTTTAAGATTAGAAGTGACCCAAAAAATGTAAGACACAGAAAGCAGCTGCAGAATAACAGGTAAGAGGGATGCCAGATTTGACCAAATAGCCAGAAACCTGGCTGTCGTTCTGATAAATCTATGGACGCAGTCTTGCTATGGGCAGAAGAGGAGAGTGAAAACAGTTTCAAAATTTAATCGTAGAATGATTCTATCAAATTAAGCCCTTTTCTAGAGTTGAATAAAAACTGACTGTAAGAGCACAGCAAGTTTAGTATAAAGTGCAGATTACATATTTTTAAATTTTTGTTTTTATTTTATTTTTTGGAGAGACAGGGTCTCGCTTTGTTTCCCAGGCTGGTCTTGAACTCCTGGCCTCAAGCAATTCTCTTGCCTTGGCCTTCCAAAGTGCTGGGATTACAGGTGTGAGACACTGCACCCAGCCTATGAAGTGCAGATTATAGTGTTTATTCTCAGATTTGAAAATATTTCTAACTTAAAGTAGAAAACATTTTGAAAGTATTTAGAAATATTTTTGCATTTTCTATAACACTAATTATCCATATACATAGTTCTCTACTAGTTCTTTTTATCAGCATTCAACTTATGTAGAGGTAGAACTATAAACATACAGAGTGTTGTTTAGCCAACTTAACGTAAACTCAGTAAACTGTTAGATTAAAGCCATTTTGCCTCAAATACTTATTAACCTGACTAGATTGGAGTTGTCAGAGATCATCCAAATTAAAAATCCAACTAATATTCTGCAGCTCTAAACAGCTATGCAGACAGATTGAAAACTGTTGGGTTCCTCCCCGCCACTACTAAGAGATGGGAAAATAATCTAATTAAAGTGAATATTTTTCTCCAATTTAAGGGGGTTGAAAAATAGCAATAATTTTAAGAAACCATTTACTGTTTTGTGTATACACACACACACACACACACACACACACACACACATCTGGATTATGTTTCTAAAGTGAATTACTGGCATTTGAAAGAAAAAAAGTAGGTAGCCCTGTTAGGGTAACTAATAGGCAGTGAAATATCTTGATCTCTTAATCCTCTGTATTGCTCAAATATTAGCATTACTCATACTTATATATTAATGTAGAAGTTACTTAGTGAAACCCTAAACTAAAATAAGGCAGAGGTGCAGTATTAGGAGAAAGACTCACAGAAAGCAAGGTAGGATGTTAGGTGTGCTAAATGGAAAATATAAGTGTTATGATTTTTATTTCATAAGGGAACTTTATAATAGAAAATGCATTTTTTAATAATAAAAAGCAGACGTCTTTGAATAAAAATGCCTCTACCCGGGTTCTTAAAATTCTAGAATTCTATTCTGCTATGGCTAATTCTTACAGAACCCTCTTCTGGTTCCACTGTATATTATTTTAGTGACACTTCTGCAGTTTGTATTAAGAATACAACTTCACATTTATACATCATTGTCTATCCACTCATTAGTTCATGCAATCTCAAAAAAGTATTATAAGAAGAAGATTTCATTTCTGAGATAAGGAAATTATGATCCAATATGTTTTTATATAACCTACTATTCATAATTACATGCAGAATTCTATTAGTCAACATATGTTCTTGTTCTTCAAAATCTGCAATATCTGTAGTCTGATTCTTGGAGACTGGCTCATCACAAACGCCTAACAGAGTTTTAGACCAGGAAGTGCCATACAGCAAGTACTTTCCATCACAGTCTCAGCTAGTTTACTCCTGAATCCTCCCATACCTTACAGAAAAAGCAATGAGTCTTTTGTAAACCACTCCTAGGAGTGTGATGGTGAGCACCACTATTCCACACACAAGGCAGAATGCCCATCGTGGTCCCCAGTGAGCGTACACTTGACTGATGAACACAGGGCCAAGAATCCGGGCTCCACTTCCAGAAGCTGTTAACCAACCCATGTACACACCCTGCGGGGGATAAAATGGAGGATAAGCAGATTGATATTCAGGTTTACTTATTTAAAAATAAAGAAATGCTACTACCAAACTACAGCAAACTTACGAGAATCATTTCTCCATCTTTTACTTTTAAATTAAACATAAAATGCCTTCTATAAATACAACAGTTGATATTAAGTCAGATTAAGAAAAATAAAAGGAGTGTAAAAGTGAAAACTTAATGTCTGCCAAAACCCTGGGAATAATCAAATTGATTAAAACACCTTTTAAAGCTAACATTTATTTTGTACCTGCTACATGTCAGTCACTGAGGTTAGGTGCACTACATACATCATTTGTAATGTTCACAAGTTTCAATGACAGGTGTTATCACTGTTTAACAAAGGTAGAAGCTGAAACTCAGAAAGTTTAAATAACTTGTTCAAGACGTTTGAAGCCATATTTGGCTGACTCCACTATGCCACTTTACACTCTACCACAACGCCACTCCTACAACTTCTGTATTCAAAACAATAGCCCACACAAACTACCCAAGAATGTTCAGGGCAGCATTGCTTTTAATAGCCTCAAATTGAAAACAACCTGTCAGTGGTAGATTAAGTGAATAACCTATGGTAAACTTAGTAACTGGAATGCTAAGCAGCTACTTTTTTCTATTAATTTTTCCTTGCCCTGTCTTATGGTGCTAATAAGCAGCTATTTAAAAGAATAAAGTCTTATATATAGACAATAAAATCTTATGAAAATATCTTTATACACTGACATGGAAAGAAAGCTGTAACATATTAACTAAGTTAAAAAAAAAACCTATCAAGATGCAGAAACAAGTATAAACCCATGCAATATAGTCTGTTTTTTCTTTTTTTTTAAAGGGATAAGTGTGGATATGTCTGGATAGGCATAGAAAAACGTCTTGAGGCATACAAATTAATAGTAGCTGACTTTGGTGAGGTAAAGCTAAGGAGAGCCTTCATTGTCTGTTAAATATATTTCTAAATTAATTGAATTTTGTTACAACTATTATATATTGCTTTTGTAATAAATAAGATTTTATTCTTAATTTTGGAAAATTAAAATAGACTCTATTAGGTTAAAAACAAACCCAGAAATTAACACCAAAATGTTTTATCTCTATTCCTTATAACTTGAAAACACAGGTATTAATTTTTTCTCCTTCTTTGCCTTATTTCAATAGAGAAACACTAATTTCTGCTCTGAAAATGTAAAGCTATTTAATTTTTAAAGAGGAAGATAATATTTTTATTTTGTGGCCATTTAAATGTCTGTTATTAGAAAGAGTTACAAGTGGCCAGGCATGGTGACTCACACTTGTAGACCCAGCACTCTGGGAGGCCAAGGTGGGAGGATCACTTGAGCTCAGGAGTTCAAGACCAGCCTGGCCAACATGGTGCTACTCCATCTATACAAAGATAAAAACATTAGCCAGGCCCAGTGGTGCACACCTGTGGTCCCAGCTACTTGGGAGGCTGAGGCACAAGAATTGTTTGAGCCCAGAAAACAGAGACTGCAGTGAGCCAAGGTCACACCACTGCACTCTGGCCTGGGCAACAGAGCAAGACTCTGTCTCAGAAAAATGAAAAAAAAAAAAAGAGAGAAGTAAAACCTAGAGATAATCTAAATGCATAGTAATAGGAAAATGATTGTGAATAAATGATGGTACATACATAAAATGGAATATAATGTTTCCAGTAAAAATAATTATCTGGGCTGGGCACGGTGGCTCACACTTGTAATCCCAGCAATTTGGGAGGCCAAGGCAGGTGGATCACGAGGTCAGGAGTTTGAGACCACCTGGCCAACATGGTGAAACCCCATTCCTACTAAAAATACAAAAATCAGCCAGGCGTGGTGCTGGGCGCCTGTAATCCCAGCTACTCGGGAAGCTAAGGCAGGAGAATTATTTCATTTGAACCCAGGAGGCAAAGGTTGCAGTCAGCAGTAATCGTGCCACTGCACTGCAGCCTAGGCAACAGGGGGAGACTCCACCTCAAAAAAAAAAAATAGTAACAATAACAATAATAATAATTCTCTAAGAGAAAATTAAATGGTATGGGAGAATATTCACAATGCATTTTTAAAAAGCAGATTACAAAATAGTATCCATTATACTATTTTTTTTTTTTTTTTAGACGGAGTTTCACTCCTGTTACCCAGGCTGGATGCAGTGGCGCAACCTCTGCCTCCTGGGTTCAAGCGATTCTCCTGCCTCAGACTCCCAAGTAGCTGGGATTACAGGAGCGCGCCACTATGCCCAACTAATTTTTGTATTTTTAGTAGAGACAGGGTTTCACCATTGTTGGCCAGGATGGTCAAGATCTCTTGACCTTGTGATTCACCTGCCTCGGCCTCCCAAAGTGCTGGGATTATAGGCGTGAGCCACCGCGCCGGGCCGATACTATTTTTAAAGTCCTATTTTTGTGTTACATGCACATACACATTCACATAGGCATAAATAAAAGACTGGAAGTGTAAACGTAATTTTGCCAAAATGTTAGTAGTAATTTTCTCATTGATAATTTTTCATTTTCCTTCTATATTTTTTCTAATTGTTTATAAAAATATGGAAAATCTTATTTTAAAATTATAAAATATGCATAAGCTGCTGTAAACTTTTAAGACTATTGTGTTTTTATCTCTTAGTAATTGCCTAGGGCTAGATGAAAGTAAGCCTAGGTCCAAATCCGGTTATCAATTTTGGTTGCCTAACTCTTGCCTAATTTAAGAATGAGTTTCAGAAATTTACACCTCGAAAAAAAAAAAGGAAAAAGAAATTTACCTCAGATTTTTTTCCCTATGAAGATGATTTTGAGCTCCCTAATCTCTAAGTTCAAAACATCTTTGAGTTGTAACTTAGGGTACTGTTTGTACATTTCAGCATATAAATCTTGTAAACATCTTATAGAAGTTGTGGGATTTTTAAAAATTTTAAATGCTGGTTGGGCGCAGTGGCTCACGCCTATAATTCCAGCACTTTGAGAGGCCAAGGTGGGCGGATTGTCTGAGCTCAGGAGTTTGAGACCAGCCTGGGCAACATGGTAAAAACCCGTTTCTACTGAAATACAAAAAATTAGCCGGGTGTGGCAGCGTGTGCCTGTAGTCCCAACTACTCGGGAGGCTGAAACAGGAGAACTGCAAGAATCCGGGAAACAGAGGTTGCAGTGAGCCAAGATCGCACCACTGCACTCCAGCCTGGGCGACAGAGCGAGACTCCATATCAAAAAAAAAAAAAAAAAATTTTAAATGCTGAATATGATAAAAATCCCCAAAATCAGTCTGTGTAAAAATAAAGAATGGCAGCAAAAAATTTGAGTGTTTACAAGTATATTTTCTATAATTGCAATGTTAGGGTTCCTGGCTTACCTGAGGTTTTGGTCCCAGAATTTTTGAATATAATGTATAGGACATAAGATTGCAGACTGGATAGCCTATTCCAATTAGCACAACTGATGTGAGGAACTGGGCTAGATGGATCACTGGGGTGTAGAGGCACCAGGCTTCTTCAATCGAGCAACCAGTTGGTCTTTCATTGTGATCTTCCATTGGAGACTTCCAAAGACCAATAATAATTTCCCCAAATGTGGTATTAGGGATTGAATTATTATGCAAATCTGAAAAAAGAAAATCAGTGCAGTGCATTACTTGTTGATTTTTGATAAATAACAGAGGCTAACACTATAAAATTATGTATAGCTATACCTTCCCACTGTATTTTGGGAAATTGATTTCCCCAAGGTAACAAGATAAAGAAGCCAACCCATACAACGATGAGTCCTCCTAGTAGAATAGCACGCTCGCCAATCCTGTTAAAGAACAGAAACTCTGTAATTTTAAAATAAAACATTAAAACATAGCTTCATTATTCATAATTTTAAAAACTGAAAATAATATCTTGTACTTTTAGTGATATATCCATTAAAAAGAATGCTAAATATAAATTTCCACTAATAACCAGGACACCTCCGAAAAATGGCTGACTTAGGTCTGGTACAGGAAAAGTAGAAGATGAGCCTGAGATCTTTCACAGCAAAAAGCACAGATGTTACCCGTGACTACCAGGTCATGAGTGTTTTTGATTCAGCCAATTTGAAGAAGCTGGCCAAAATGTGACTATATGAATACCAAAACAGAATAATAATGGCAATGGATTGAAATACATGTGAAAGTATTATCATCTGTGGCCTGGTACAGTGGTTCATGCCTATAATCTCAGCACTCTGGGAGGCCAAAGGGGGAGGACTGCTTGATGCCAGGAGTTCAAGAACAGCCTGGGCAACATAGCAAGACCCCATCTCTACAAAACATAAAAAAAAAATTAGCCAGGAGTGGTAGCAAGTGCCTGTAGTCCTAGCTACTCAAAAGGTAGACGGGCAGGAGGATTACTTGAGCCAGGAGGTCAAGGCTGCAGTGAGCTGTGATGGCACCAATGCACTCCAGACTGGGTGACAGAGCAAGACCCTGTCTCTAAAAAAAAAAGTTATTATAATCTATGAATTCATAGTATATTAAAGTACTCTTTGATCACTTTTGGAGGATGTTAGAGAAACAACTCATTAGTTTTAAAAACCAGTTACTAAAAGGAAAGAATCAAGGCTTTATCTTGCCTTTCCTATACGACTGTAGCTCAGGTTAACCAAATAGTTGGTGAGGGAAACAGTCTCTATGAAAAGTATTCTAGCAAATAAATAAAGGAACAATAGAATTAAAATACCAGAATTTTGCAATGATCTATTAATAAATGAATGTATCTAGGATAGTCAATGGCTACTTACATATTAAAAGATAAATATTATATCTCTTCTGATATAAGCACATATCCCCACCTATAAAGTATTCTTGCCAAAAAATTGAACCCAAGTTTCATCAAGCTGCTAGATCCAAGAACTAATTTTTTAGAAATATAGCAATCATGTCATCTGCAAACAGAGACATTTTGACTTCCTCTCTTCCTATTTGAATACTCTTGGTAAGAGACAGCGTTCCTTTTTTTTTTTTTGAGATGGAGTTTCGCTCTTGTTACCCAGGCTGGAGTGCAATGGCGCGATCTCGGCTCACCGCAACCTCCGCTACCTGGGTTCAAGCAATTCTCCTGCCTCAGCCTCCCGAGTAGCTGGGACTACAGGCGCGCACCACCATGCCCAGCTAATTTTTGTATTTTTAGTAGAGACGGGGTTTCACCATGTTGACCAGGATGGTCTCGATCTCTTGACCTTGTGATCCAACCACCTAGGCCTCCCAGAGTGCTGGGATTACAGGCGTGAGCCACCGCGCCCGGCCGGCATTCTTGTCTTGCGCTGGTTTTCAAAGGGAATGCTTCCAGTTTTTGCCCATTCAATATGATATTGGTTGTGGGTCTGTCATGAATAGCTTATTATTTTGAGATACATTCCATCAATACCTAGTTTATTAATAGTTTTTAGCATGAAGCATTCAAAGACTTTATCCTGCAAGATTGGCAAAAAGAAAAAAAAAGAGTTTTTGAGTGTTAATGATTGGGTGTTAAATTTTATCGAGGGCCTTTCCTGCATCTATTGAGATAATCGTGGTTTTTCTCATTGGTTCTGGTCATGTGATGGATTACGTTTATTGATGTATGTTGAACCAGCCTTGCATCTCAGGGATGAAGCCAACATTATTGTGGTGGATAAGCTTTATAATGTGCTACTGGATTCAGTTTGCCAGTATTTTATTGAGGATTTTCACTTCAATGTTCATCAGGGATATTGGCCTGAAATTTTCTTTTTCAGTTGTGTCTCTGCCAGGTTTTGGTATTAGGATGATGATGGCCTCATAAAATGAGCTAAGGAGGATTCCCTCTTTTTCTATTGTTTGGAATAGTTTCAGAAAAAATGGTAACAGCTCCTCTTTGTACCTCTAGTAGAATTCAGATGTGGATTCGTCTGGTCCAGGACTTTTTTTGGTTGGTAAGCTATTAATTCCTGCCTCAATTTCAGAACTTGTTATTGGTCTATCCAGGGATTCAACTTCTTCCTACTTTAGTCTTGGGAGGGTATATATGCCCAGGAATGTATCCATTTCTTCTTGATTTTCTAGTTTATTTACATAGGGGTGTTTATAGTATTCTCTGATGGTAGTTTGTATTTCTGTGGGATCAGTGGTCCCCAAAATCTCCTTAAGCTAATAAGCAACTTTAGCAAAGTCTCGGGATACAAAATCAATGTAAAAAAGTCACAAGCATTCCTATACACCAACAATAGAGTGCCAAATCATGAGTGAACGCCATTCACAATTTCTACAAAGAGAATAAAATACCCAGGAATACAACTTACAAGGAATATGAAGGACCTCTTCAAGGAGAACTACAAACCACGGATCAAGGAAATAAGAGAGGACACAAACAAATGAAAAAACATCCCATGCTCATGGATAGGAAGAATCAGTATCATGAAAATGGTCCTACTGCCCAAAGTAATTTGAAGATTCAATGCTATTCCCATCAAGCTACCACTGACTTTCTTCACAGAATTAGAAAAAACTAATTTAAATGTCATATGAAACCAAAAAAAGAACCAGAGCCCACATAGTCAAGTCAATCCTAAGCCAAAAAACAAAGCTGGAGGCATCACGCTACCTGACTTCAATCCATACTATAAGACTACAGTAACAAAAACAGCATGGTACTGGTACCAAAGCAGATACATAGACCAATGGAACAGAACAGAGACCTCAAAAATAACACCACACATCTACAACCATCTGATCTTTGACAAATCTGACAAAGACAAGCAATGGGGAAAGGATTCCCTATTTAATAAATGGTTTTGGGATAACTGGCTAGCCATATGCATAAAACTGAAACTGGACCCCTTCCTTACACCTTATACAAAATTAACTCAAGGTGGATTAAAGACAAACGTAAGACCTAAAACCATAAAAGCCCTAGAAGAAAACCTAGGCAATACCAATCAGGACATAGGCATGGCATAAGACTTCATGACAAAAACACCAAAAACAAAGGCAACAAAAGCCAAAATAGACAAATGGAATCTAAACTAAAAAACTTCTGCACAGCAAAAGAAACTATCATCAGAGTGAACAGGCAACCAACCTACAGAATGCGAGAAAATTTTTGCAATCTATCCATCTGACGAAGGGCTAATATCCAGAATCTACATGGAACTTAAACAAATTTACAAGGAAAAAACAACCCATCAAAAAGTGGGCAAAGGATATGAACAGACACTTCTCAAAAGAAGATATTTTGCAGCCAATAAACTTATGAAAAAAAGCTCATCATCACTGGTCATTAGAGAAATGGAAATCAAAACCACAATGAGATACCATCTCATGCCAGTTAGAATGGCGATCATTAAAACATCAGGAAACAACAGATGCTGGAGAGGATATGGAGAAATAGGAACACTTTTACACTGTTGGTAGGAGTGTAAATTAGTTCCACCATTGCAGAAAACAATGTGGCAATTCCTCAAGGATCTAGAACCAGAAATACCATTTGACCCAGCAATCCCATTACTGGGTATATACCCAAAGGATTGTAAATTATTCTACTATAAAGACACATGTACACATATGTTTACTGCAGTACTATTCACAATAGCAAAGACTTGGAACCAACCCAAATGCCCATAAATGATAGACTGGATAAAGAAAATTTGGCACATATACACCATGGAATACTATGCAGCCATAAAAAAGGATTAGTTCATGTCCTCTGCAAGGACATGGATGAAGCTGGAAACCATAATTTTTAGCAAACTAACAAAGGAACAGAAAACCAAACACTGCATGTTCTCACTCATCAGTGGGAGTTGAACAATAAGAACACATGGACACAGGGAGGGGAACATCACACAATGGGGCCAGTCAGGGGGCGGGGGGCTAGGGGACAGACAGCATTAGGAGAAATACCTAATGTAGACAATGGGTTGATGGGTGCAGCAAAGCACCAGGGCACATGTATACCTATGTAACAAGCCTGCACAATACGTACATGTCTCCTAGAATTTAAAGTATAGTAAAGGCCAGATATGGTGGCTCACGCCTGTAATCCCACCGTTTTAGGAGGCTGAGGCAGGTGGATTACGAGGTCAGGAGATAGAGACCATCCTGGCCAACATGGTGAAACCCTCTCTCTACTAAAAATATAAAAATTAACTTGGTGTGGTGGCGCACACCTGTAATCCCAGCTACTCAAGAAACTGAGGCAGGAGAATGGGTTGAACCCGGAGGCAGAGGTTGTGGTGAGCTGATATGGCGCCACTGTACTCCACCCTGGGCAACAAGAGCACAATTCCATCTCACACACACAAAAAAAGACTGAAAAGTGAATATGAAGATAGGGAGTAGACTGGTGAGCCCAGGCAACATAGCAAGACCTTGTCTCTACAAAAAGTTAAAAAAAAATTAGCCAGGCATTATGGCACATGCCTGTAGTTCTAGCTACTCAGGAGGCTGAGACATGAGAACTGCTTGAGCCTAGGAGTTCGAGGCTGCCATGAGATATGATCACACCACTCCACCCCATCCTGGGCAACAGAGTAAGACACCACCCTTTACAAAAAGGAAAAGAAGAAATGAAAGAAAAGAGAGAATAGATTGATAGTTACCAGAGGCCAGGAATAACAGTGGGGAGAAAAGCAATAAAGGTTGATTAATGGGTTCAAATATATAGTTAGAAGAAATAAGACTTAGTTTTTAATAGATCAGTAGAGTGACTATAGTTAGGAATAATCTAGTATACATGTCAAAAGCTAGAAAAGAGTAATTCAAATGTTACTAGCATAAAGAAAAGGTAAATATTTAAAGTGATGGTATTCCAGTTATTTTGATTTGATCTTTATATGAATGTATCAAATTATCACAGATACCCCAAACATATGTATATCTACCATGTATCGATTAAAAAACACTTACACTGAACACAGTGGCTTATGCCTGTAATCCCAGTACTTTGGGAGACTGAGGCAGGAGGATTGCTTGAGCCCAGGAATTTGGGACTAGCCTGGGCAACATAGTGAGATACTGTCTTTACAAAAAATAAAAATAAAATAAATTAGCCAGGTATGATGGTGCCTGCTTATAGTCCTAGCTATTCAGGAGGCTGAGATGAGAGGATCACTTGAGCCCAGCAGGTCAAGGCTACACTGAGCCATGATTGTACCACTGCATTTCAGCCTGGGCAACAAAGAGAGACTTTGTCTCAAAAAAAAAAACTGTGTGTGGTCTGGGAAAAGCCACAAATTATATTTGCCATAATGATGATATAGAATATATACACTGTGGATAGAAGTTCTAGAACAAATAAGTTTGGCATTTACATTTTCCAAACTTAACCACTGAATCTTTTTTGTTACACAATGTATATTACAATACAGTAGAACAATGGTCTGTGAAATACACTTTCGGGAAAACATAACATACAAAAGATAAAGTGAGTCAATTATATACTTTGTAAGAAATTTTGTTTTGCCAAAGAAATGCTGTATAAAAATATTATGATCTCTTAATCAATTTTAAATGTGTGTGCAAAAAAAAGCTTTCAATTACTTTCCTGGTACATCCATTTGCATTGTTAGCTCTGTTTTTTGTTTTATTTTTTAAAAACAGACATAAAACAAAAACAAAACCACTTAACTTACTTTCTGGAAAATAATTTAACTCCTAAGAAAATAACAACTGCCTCAACTCCAAGAGCAGCAAGTATTATGCCATCATATAAGACAGCTTGTACTTGAGTCCAGGCATACATATCCATTGTTAATGGAGTAACGATGCTAAGAAAAACAAAAACAAAAATTATTCTTATTTTATTTGAATCATAGTAACTGTTATACTTAAAGTGAAGTAAAAGTTTTAATAATGACAGCTACACATTCAAGAATTTGCATGAGTTTTAGCAATGACAACAGACTTAAGCAAAAGTTTGAACACATTTTAAGCATGTTGTTGTTACATACCTAAGTAATTAAGTCTGCCTACTCATATTTTACTTTATAACGTTTATTTTAATTATATAACTAATATAGCCACATTACAGAGAGTCTAAAAAAAAGGAAAAGGAATAAACCAAACCAATCATAATGCCTACCATTCTAACATTTCTAAATAATCATGGTCATATTTTTAATTAAATTACTCTCTTTCAATGCAGTAATGTTATATCATTAGAATATACTGGATTTTTGAATGTATATATTTTTTCCTTTACCTCTGAATGTCTCTTCCTTTGCATGACTATATCCTTCCTTGCCAGGTTTCTCTCCCTACATTTGATCTCTTTCTATTAACTGACTACAAAATGCAATTTATATTTACTGTATTTTATTATTATTTTTGAGACACCAGAGTCTCACTCGGTCACCTGGGCTAGAGTGCAGTGGCATGATCTCAGCTCGCTGCAACCTCCATCTTCCTGGTTCAAGTAATTCTCCTGCCTCAGCCTCTTGAGTAGCTGAGACTACAGGCACCCACCACCACACCCAGCTAATTTTTGTATTTTTAGCAGAGACAGGGTTTCGCCCTATTGGCCAGGCTGATCTTAAACTCCTGACCTCAAGCAATCCACCTGCCTTGGCCACCCAAAGTGCAGCAATTATATTTCAGGCGTGAGCCACTGCACCCAGCCTGAAATTTATTTAATATTGTTAATTGGTATGTTATTGTTTAATGGGTATGGAGCTCCTGTTTAGAATGATGAAAACATTCTGGAAATACTGGTCCTGGTTTCACAACATTGTGAATGCACATTATGCTATTGAATTGTATGCCTTAAAAATAGGATGACAGTGCTGGGACGCAGTGGCTCACATCTGTGATCCCAGCATTTTGGGAGGCCAAGGTAAGTGGGTCACTTGAGCCCAGAAATTCAAGATCAGCCTGGGCAACATGGGGAAATCCTGTCTCCACAAAAAATACGAATGAACTAGCCGAGCATGGTGGTGAATGCCTGTAGTCCCAGCTACTTGGGAGGTGGAGGCTGGAAGACCACCTGAGCCCAGGAGGTCGAGGCTGCAGTGAGCTGTGATCACACCACTGCACTCCAGCTTGGGAGACAGAGTGAGACCCTGTCTCAAAACAATGCAAAAAAAGTTAACACAGTAAATTTTATGTTATGTATATTTTCCCACAATAAATAACTGCCCCCGAAAAATCAGATGAGCTGGAAGTTTCATTATCTCAATAATTTTGAAAATAAAGGCCAGGCACGGTGGCTCACACCTGTAATCCCAGCACTTTGGGAGGCCAAGGCAGGTGGATCACGTCAGGAGTTCAAGACCAGCCTGGCCAAGATGGTGAAACCCTGTCTCTACTAAAAATATAAAAATTAGCCAGGCACAGTGGTGGGCACCTGTAATCCCAGCTACTCAAGAGGGAGGCTGAGGCAGGAGAATCGCTTGAACCTGGGAGGCGGAGGTTGCAGTGAGGTGAGATTGCACTACAGCACTCTAACCTGAGTGACAGAGCAAGACTCCATCTCAAAAAAAAAAAGAAAAGAAGAGGTCAGGCATGGTGGCTCACGTCTGTAATCCCAGCACTTTGGGAGGTCCAGGCAGGCAGATCATGAGGTCAGGAGAACGAGACCATCCTGGCTAATGTGGTGAAACCTCATCTCTACTAAAACTACAAAAAAATTAGCCAGGCATTGTGGCATGTGCCTGTAGTCCCAGCTACTCAGGAGGCTGAAGCAGGAGACTTCCCTGAACCTGGAAGGCAGAGGTTGCGGTGAGCCAAGATCGCACCATTGCACTCCAGTCCAGTCTGGGCAACAAGAGCAAAACACTGTCTCGAAAAATAAAAGAGAATAAAAACACCAAGCAAACCTACAAGTACTAACATAAAAATGACACAATGTAGTTCTTCACATGTACCCCAAAACCTAAAATGCAATAAAAAAAAATGACACAATGTATTAATAAGAAAATAAACCAAGTTGTCAAATGATAATATCATATAATCTATGTAAGTTTAAAAATACAAACTAAAGTATTAGCAGGGGTCTCTTTCACAGAAATGAGTGGATATAGAAATATAGTTGTAATACTTGGGATTTCAATGTACTATTTTTATAATTTCATAGAAAGTTATTTTAAAAATAAAAGAGTCATACGATAAAGGTGAATAAAGCCTGCACAAGGCAGAGATTTTGTATTGTACTAGGTTTTTTTCCAAGATCAGGAATTAAATTGAGTTAAAATTGCCAGATTGAACCATATATACATATATATATATATATGAAACTATAGAGCTTAAGGTTAATTGAATCATGACACTAAAGTTTCATAACTATTTACCATAAAACTTAGATGAAAGAAGAAAGATTGGTGAAACAGATTCTTTTATAAGAAAGTAAGATAAGGTAGTAAGATTATGTACAAAGAATTAACTACATTTAAGTTAAAAGCCACAAAACATATATATACTTTTTACATCACGGTAAGAAAAATATGCCTTACATAAGATTTTAATAACATCTATATGCCTATTTAACACTGCATGAAGAAGTAAAGGTTAATACATAAACTGATTTAGATGAAGATGGAATAAAACTTACGTTTCAAAAAGGGCAAAGATAAATAGAATCACAAAAAACAGAACATTGATGGCCACAACAGCAACTTGGTCAATATTTCCTTGGGGAACCTGAACTTCATCTGTACTTTCTGTAGGTAAATCGGAGAAAAATTACATTACCTATATATCTAATTTTTCTTATGACACTAAAATAATGTAGAAATTCACTGTGGCAAATTTTATAAATAAAAATTTTTAAAAATTTTAGGCTTCAAAGCAGTTTAAGAATAAGATAATTTATTTATTTTTATTTTTTGAGACAGGGTCTCACTCTGTCACCCAGACTAAAGCACAGTGGCATGATCACAGCTCACTGCAGCCTTGACCTCTCCAGGCTCAGGTGATCCTCCTACCTCAGCCTCCCAAGAATCCAGGACTACAGGCATGCACCACCATGTCCAACTAATTTTCGTACTTTTTGTAGAGATGAGGTTGCACCATGCTACCCAGGCTGGGCTTGAACTCCTAAGCTCAACCAATCTGCCTGCCTCGGCCTCCCCAGGTACTGGGATTACAGGTGTGAGCCACTGTGCATGGCCAACAATAAGATAATTTATATGACAGAAACAATTTTTAAATGGCATTTAAAAGCAAAGTGAATTTTCTTCCCAGGAGATAGACTTAAAAATCCTGTTATCTTAAGAAATACTCAGATATATTTTCTACTTGGTATATCTCAATCCAAAAACAGGAATGGAATTTCTAGAACTCTATAATATAGTGATCTCATACTAAATATATGTACTTTAAAATTCAATTGCAGATTTTTTCCACCTTACTTAAATCTTAGACTTATAAGAATTTCATGCAGAACTCCAGTAGTTTATTAAATCGGTTCCCAGTTCTATGATTTACTCCAATGGATATATACATATATTTTGAATTTCAATGCTACATGAAATTAGTATTCATGGCCAGGCATGGTGGCTCACGCCTGTAATCCAAGCACTTTGGGAGGCCAATGCAAGTGGATCACCTGAGGACAGGAGTTCAAGATCAGCCTGGCCAACATGGCAAAACCCCATCTCTACTAAAAATACAAAAAACATTAGCCAGGCATGGTGGTGCATGGCTGTAATCTCAGCCACTTGAGAGGCTGAGGCACTAAAACTGCTTGAACCCAGGAGGCTCAGGTTGCATTGAGCCAAGACTGCACCACTGCACTATATCCTGGACGACAGAGAGAGACTCTGTCTCAAAAAAATAAAATAAAATAAACAACAAGATATTAGTATTTGTAAAGATCCTTATGTTTTCATTACCATTTAAAAAACCCTTATCATATTTCTGCAAAAAAATAGTCATGATTTGATGGTGGTTTTATAAATAAGGAGGACAAAGTAAGTGTACTGATTTCTCATCTTGAACAATGTCGTTAAGCTTACTACATGTTTGGCTATTCTTGATGTAACTGAGAAGAATGCACACATATGTATCTACTCATACATATTCATCACGCTGTTTTGTAATTTATCTACTTATTCAGAAAATCAGTTTTTCACACAAATAAATACCAAAATAAGCCAAGTATTAATATATAAAATATTACTAAATATGTTCACTTATGCTATCTTAAATTGTGTGTACTATCAGTTGGGGGGGGTGCTTTCCTAAGATGCAGTAAGGTTCTATGATTTTATTCATAATAATGCCTGCCTTTCTAGCTCAGAATTCTTGAGGAGTTCCTCCTCCAACAATAGGTAGATTTGGAAATAGTCTGCTATACTTAAAAGGAATTAAGCACCCTGGACACTCAACATAGCCTTATGACCTTCCTTTACAATTACACAAAGAGAACTGGTCACCTTTGTCCAGATCCTTTTCCAGGGCTAGGCCCTGATGCTTGTGGCTCCTGTATTATTTTGGATAGACCTCTCTGACTCTTAACGACCACCTAGAAGTCAGTCTTTACACCTTCAAATCAGTATCAACATTGCCCCAAGTCAGACTGGAGTTTGCTTCAGAATATGCTCTACTAATATTTATATTTTTAATAGAGACAGAGTTTCACCATGTTGGCCAGCTTGGTCTTGAACTTCTGACCTCAGGTGATCCACCTGCCTCGGCCTCCCAAAATACTTGGATTATAGGCATGAGCCACTATGCCCAGCTGGACTGTAGTTACACTTTGAAGATCTTCTCCAAAGATCGTTGTTGTTGGGTGCAGTGGCTCATGCCTGCAATCCTAGCATTTTGGGAGGCTGAGGCAGGCAGATCACTCAAGTCCAGGAGTTTAAGACCAACCTGGGCAAGATGGTAAGATCCCATCTCCATTAAAAAAAAAAAAGTTATTTGTTGTGTATTAAAATACAAATTTAACTGGGTGGGACATCTTTATATTAAAGCATTATTCAAATTTAATTGGACATTCTGTGTTTTATATTTATTATATATATATGTTTTACATTTCTTTATTGACTCCCCTATTTGGAGAAGCAACATCCTACGTTTTATAGGCAACCCTATTAGGTCTTACCCTAAGCCTACTGAATCAGAATTTGCATCTTAACAAGGTTCCCAGGTAGTTTCTAAGCACATTAATGTCAATGAAGCACTGATTTATATCATTATCCCCTTCCAACTTCTGAAATACTGATTTTTACATATGTTACCTTTGCCATACCTCTGCCTCACTCTCTTAACTTCCTCCTTCCTTTTTCCTGATAGCTCCTTGAAGTCAGCATCCTATTTTTTCACCTTTGAAAAAAGTAGTGTATATCCACCTGCTGGCACTTCACCTCTCATTCTTTTTATTTTTTATTTTGAAAGTTTTCAAACATATTCTTACATATTCATCCTTCAGATTAAACAATCTTTTGCCACACTTGAATCATTACCCCATCCTTTCTCTCACTCCCTCTTTGCTGCTATAGTGTTTTTCACTGGGTGACTGATAATTTTATCTCTAGCTTTTATTTCTACAGTCAAAATTACAAATGCCTGAGACTTTTTAGTTGTTCTAGAGTAGCAACATATTTAGCTTGATCCAAACTGAAATTTTCTTCTCTTTGCATCCAACGTCCCTTCCTGAATTCTTGTTCGCTCTCACTCTTCCAGGTGATCTAGAATCAAAACCTGGCAGAAATGTCGACTTCCTCTAATCCTTAATATTCTCTATCTAAATATCTATCTTGATTCCTCCTTCAACAACTTCTACTTATTTCTTCTCCATTCTCAGTCATTGCCCTACTTCAGGCCTAGTCAAAATTAATACTTTTATACTGTCTTCCTGAGTCATCTACACAATGTTCTTTTAAAAAGAAAAACACAAATATTGTACCTATGAAAAGTTTAATAGAGAAATTGTTTAAATTTATTACTGGCATTATATATTTTTTACATTCTGATATAGCTTCTTTTACTAGCTGTTCAGTAATGAAATTGTTACCAATGAGACATTACCAGTGAGATATAATCTGGATTAGCCTCTATATGGAATCAATGTCAAACTTCTCCTAGTTCAAAAACTTACTATAGCTCCTCAACCATGCTGCTCTCCACCCTATTACATTTAACTTTATCTTCCACTATTTCTTTTGTGGAAATTTAATAAAAGAGCTGTGAAAGTACCTGGTAAAATAATGCTGTGACTTTTCCACAACTTTATTAACTATTGAGGGCAAACATCAGTTCTTGCATTCTTTCCCCAAGGAGGATATAATTAGTACCTAAATAACAGTTTATTTGGTAAAATATAACTACTTAGCAGGTTATCTGACTTACATAAGTCAGAGAAGATCTAAAGGATGAAAATGTATATTTGTAAAGTATAACAAACAATAAAAATAAAAAGGCAAAACCATACCCGTTCTCATGCTTAAGAGAATAAAGAACTGCTTTAAATAGAAAGACTTATTTCTTTGGTAGTAAAAATATGGAAACCATGCAAATATCTCAGAGGTTTTAGGATACTGGCTCTCTGAAAATAAGACAGTGATTTTTTTCCAATGTTTGTAACCTTGTCAACCATGAACACGAAATAACTGGTATGGGAATGCCTCTTAAAAAAAAACATCCATTTAGGTCACTTTCAGCTTTCAAGATCTTCCCCAATCACCCACTGTTTTGTCCTCAGAAGAAAAATCCAAGTAAATACCAAACAAACAGAATCATTAGAAACACTTTGATAATGTTATATTAATTCAGTCAAATGGGTTAAAAGTACCTTCATCAAAATTAATATTTTTACACTGTCTTCCTGAGTCATCCACACGATGTTCTCTTAAAAAAAAACAAACACACAAATATTGTAACTAAAAAATGCTTAACAGAGAAGTTATTTAAATTTATTACTGTCATTATATTTTTTTCACATTCTAAATAGTTTCTTTTATTGGCTTTGTAGTAATAAAATTGTTACCAATGAGATATAACCAATAAACTTAAGACAGGAGTTACAATTCTTACCATATTATCATAGACAGGTAAAATGAAAAAAAATCCAACTCATCCTAAAGCATTCATGATCTACTTTAGTATTTGAAGTTATGCAGTGATTATAAATACTAGTAATCAATGTTTTTAGACTATTGAGTAAAGCACTCTAAAAAATAAAATGTAATTCCAAAAAATTTTTTCAAATATATAAAGATATACATTACTAGAAACTTTTATATTTAAGACTGATACAAACCCATCAATTTATTTAAAATGTTACTTTCATGCTTTTCCCCTACTTAGAAATATGTAGTTAGTAAATCAAGACCAAACCTTGAGGCGCCATGTGCAGCTTCATGTGGCTCATGTCTCTAATCCTAACACTTCGGGAGGCCAAGGTGGGCAGATCACGCTGAGGACAGGAGTTCAAGACAAGCCTGGCCAACATAGTGAAACCGTATCTCTACTAAAAATACAAAAATTAGCTGGACCTGATGGCACACACCTGTAGTCCCAACTCCTAAGGAAGCTGAGGCATGAGAATCCTTGAACCCAGAAGATGAAGGTTGAAGTGAGCTGAGATAATGCCACTACCTTCCAGTCTGAGCCACGGAGTAACATCTTGTCTCAAAAAAAAAAACCTGAATCTTCAAAGACCTTCCTTTTCTGTTTTCATTTATCAGGTTGTCTTTTGATTGCCAGTATTACATGTTTTAGTACTACATGACCAAAAAAATATAAACAAACTATAGACATAAAAAAAACAAAAATAAGGCTGGGCGCAGTGGCTCACGCTTGTAATCCCAGCACTTTGGGAGGCTGAGGCAGGTGGATTACCTGAGGTCAGCAGTTCAAGACCAACCTGGCCAACATGCTGAAACCCCATCTCTAAAAAAAAAAAAAACAAAACCAAAAACATACTTCATAAGGGTAATTATCTTGCAGTAATTACAAAGCTCATTTAATTTCACAATCTACAAAAATAGTTTTATCATTTCTATCTAATTACCTTAGTATAGCAAAGATCAGAATAATATTTAGAATTCCCAGGAAGGCTCCAAGTAAAGCTGGTGTTGTATACATGTTTATCTGCAGTTTAATCACATCCCATGTCACACCCTTTTCTCCAATGAATGCAAAACAAGTCTGAAAAACTTATTAAGATAAAATTTTCACAGATGAATTGTTATATGAGAGGAATAGGATAAAAAAATAAAAAAGACATTGAACACAGAATTGGGAACAATGTTATGGAATCATCCTTCTATAGCATGCATTCTCAACAGGTGCAAGAAAATTGGTTCTTGATGGGGGGTCAAAAAATTTCCTCTTTTTATGTATAAAGCAGGTAGGTACAAATATACATATGATACATAAAAGATATATGATACATCTGTGGCACTAAAATGTTATGGGATAAAGAGAGTAGGAAAAAATATCTAAAAAGACTCCTTAGGGAGACAACAATGAAAAAAAGGTTATGAAATACTGATGTACATGCATTCACAAGGAACTGTTATCTTAAGTAAGTTGTCAGTTTTTTACATCTTCGTAGGCATTTTAAATTATAAAATTTCTTCCAAGAATTAATTATAGAGGTTTAATCAACTTCATTATAAGAATGGACATATCATAATTTAGATTAGATATTTTAAATATTATTGTGTAGGGACCAGGCGCGGTGGCTCATACCTGTAATCCCAGCACTTTGGGAGACTGAGGTTGGGGGGATCACAAGGTCAGGAGTATAAGACCAGCCTGGCCAACATGGTAAAACCCCGTCTCTATCAACAATATAAAAACTAGCTGGGCATGGTGGCAGGCAACTATAATTCCAGCTACTTGGAAGGCTGAGTCAGGAGAATTGCTTGAACCCGGGAGCTGAGGTTGCAGTGAGCCGAAATCTCGCCACTGCACTCCAGCCTGGACGACAGAGCAAGACTCCATCTCAAAAATAAATAAATAAATAAATATTATTGTGTATATGGTACCTAAATTATATATATTTAGTATCATTTGACCACACTATCATATATAGGTAAAAAAAAAAAAAACAAAAAACATTTCATCCAAAAGCATATATAAGCTAATTGGTATTTGAAGTTTCTTTAGTGACTTTAAACATTAGTTAGAAATGTTTTTGGACTGGTGAATAAAGCACTCTAAAAAAATATGAAGTAACAAAATCTAATTTGGATTTGTGGCAAAAACTGGATTGGAACAGTACTGGTTTGCTCTCCTGATTTAGATTCTATATGCTCTATAGTAATTCACATATAACTCTATGGTGAGGACTAAGATACTACACCTACTATACTTAGAGCAGTGCCTAGCACACAATAAATGTGAGTGCTTTTTGAGTGTTTATTATTGGAAAAGTCATCTAAGCTCTTCAGGCTTACATTTATTTATCTATAATGCAAAATTTTTAAATGACACAATCTTTAAAATGCTTTTAAGGTGGTAAAAATATTTGCTAAGAACATATGTCTATACCAAATATTATGCTAGATACTAAGGTTAGACTGGAAAATTAGAAAGACACAAACCACACCCTCATGTACTTTACAATATGCTTTTCAAGTTCAATTTTTCTATATTTGTGCTTGTATTTGTCCCAAGGTACTAAACCGAAATACTAGATTTTGGTGAACAGTGAATTAGTCTCTTCTGTTGAGCCTTTTCTTTTTGGCTAAATAGAGGAATGTAATAGAACTGGGGGTGGGAGAATAGGTGTTAATGATGAAGCTGAGTTGGATTAAAACTGATGATATTCATAACTGCAATATTCAAAATATGGACCAATTATATAGTTTTTCAATATTATTATAAGCATGAAAATGACTCTCTACTCAGCAGAAAATTAATTGGCCTTGAGGAAATATTAAATCTCATTAATTTTTTTGAGATGGAGTCTCACTCTTGTCACCCAGGCTAGAGTGTAGTGATGTGATCTCAACTCAATGCAACCTCCACCTCTGGGTTCAAGCGATTCTCCTGCCTCAGCCTCCTGAATAGCTGGGATTAGAGGCGCCCGCCACCACGCGAGGCTAATTTTTGTATTTTAAGTACAGATGAGGTTTCACCATTTTGACGAGGCTAGTCTCAAACTCCTGACCTCAGGTGATCCACCGCACCCGGCCTCACTAATTTTTTTAATACTCAGCAAAAGGGTGACCTTGGACAATTTACTTAAATTTTCTATGCAATGGCACTCTCAACTATAAAAGGGGACTAATAGCACTTAATTTAGTGGATTGGCATCAAGATAAAATGAGTCTAGCCTCATTGCTGGATTAAAAAAAAAAGTTAGCTTTCCTCCCTTTCCCTTCAGCTATAAGGTTTTATACTTGGGTTACATAGAATATTTGTGCCTCAAAAGTTTTCCCAATTCAAATTCAAGTAATGATAAGTGAAGAACACCTACCTGGACCTAGAATAAAACCTAATGCTTGACATGTGCTTATATTTGCCATGGAATTTGTTCTTTCCTGAAGGGAAGTTGCACCAGCAGTATATGATCGAATAACAGCTACATTTCCTTAAAAGCAAGACACAATAGTCCAAAGTAAAAGAAAGTATCATTCAGTTTATAAAATTCATTCAAATTTAACTTTATACAGAAGAACAGGTGTTGGTCAATAGTATAGTCACTGCTTTCTTTTTATGACCATACAAAGTAAGGTATTTTTATTAAGGAAATACATGAACTAATGGACCATAGTAGTTTTAGTAATATGAAAACAGTTAATGATATGAATGAGTTAAAAAATGGCATTATAAGAAAACCAAGCCAGGCATAATGGCTCATGTCTGTAATTCCAGCACTTTCGGAGGCTGAGGTGGGCAGATCATTTTGAGATCAGGAGTTCAAGACCAGCCCGGTCAAGATGGTGAAACCCTGACTCTACTGAAAATACGAAAATTAGCCGGGAGTGATAGCAGGTGCCTGTAATCCCAGCTACTCAGCAGGCTGAGGCAGAAGAATCGCTTGAACCAGGAGGTGGAGGTTGCAGTGAGCCGAAATTGCGCCACTGTACCCAACCTGGGTGACAGAGTGAGACTCCATCTCAAAAAAAAAAAAAGTTTATTGTCTGGTTAGTGAAAAATGATAAAAACAGTACAATACTATAAGGAACATGTCAGAGAAGAAAATAACCTCTTAAGGGGTAGCCCAAGAGAGCTTTGTGAAAAATGTGGAGCTTGAATTGGATCTAATTTTGTTTTGGGTTTTTTTTTTTTTTTAATGGAGGTCTCCCTGTGTTACCCAGGCTGGCCTCAGACTCCTGGGGCTCGAGAGATCCTGCCACCTCAGTCTCCTGAGTAGCTGGTATTATAGGTGCGTGCCACCATGCCTGGCTTGAACTGAATCTTGAAGGATGAAGAATGACAGGAACAGAAGAGAAACTATAGGTAATGAGAACATCATGAGCAAAGGCAGAATGATAGGAAAAATATTTGTTTACAATGACATGTATGTTGAACTGTAAAATATGAGTCTAAAAGGGGATGACACCAGGTGAAAGTGAGCATAAATGTCAGAATGAATGTGAATTTGACACAACCAAACATACATACAAACTTACCTGCTCCAAATCCCACCAATCCACGAGCAATCAGCATGTAGTATTTATTATGAGAGGCTGGGACGTGGACATATGCATAGAGGCAGTTGGCTGCCACGGAAATGAAGATGGAGACAATAAGAGGCTCTTTTCTTGGTCTATAATTAGACCAGAAACCAAATATAGGTGATGCTACCATTTGGCCAAGACTATATGAAGCAATAACCCAGCCCAAAAAACTTGCATCAGCTGTCTGATCAATCTGCAGAAAAAAGTACAGTGCTTTAAGAATTGTTATCTAAGAAAAGCAAAGTTTAAAACCTAAATACATTTGTCTTACCATGTAAAATTTCCTATTAAAAAATAAAAACAATTCTAATAAATGTTTTATAACACTATTACTTACAGTAAGAGATTCAAACTTCTGACAATAGAATTAAATGTGCAAACAACAGACTGTACAAAGGGGAAAATGTTTGGGAAGCTCATTTTTAAGAATTACTATGGAAATTTCTCGTTCATATAAACCTTGATAAAAAGATAATCACACACACTATATACTCATACAGCAATAACATCATGAAAAATAACACAAGCTATTCTTTAATTCTTGTAAATAGAATTCTTTAGACTTATGCTACTCTATATGTTAAATAGTCAGCACTCTAAATCTAAAAAAACTAGGCAAAAGAGTCAAATGCAGGAAGAAAATAATAAAAACACAAAAGCTGATAGACAATTCTCTTGATAAATCTGTTATAAATTATTCTTTTCGATATAGACAACTCAATATTCTACCACTTTAAAAGGGTTTACATATCATGATGAACATGAGGGGAGAACCAAATGGCTACAACTCAGAAAATGAAATACTTTCAGAAAAACAGAAAATATTTGCTTAGAAAAGACACTATTGTTTATTTTTATTTCTTTTTTTGATACAAGGTCTCGCTTTGTCACCCAAGCTGGAGTGCAGTGGTGCAATCATGGCTCAGTGCAGCCTCGACCTATGAAGCCCAAGTGATCATGGGCCGGGCGTCGTGGCTCATGCCTGTAATCCAGCACTTTGGGAGGCCAAGGCAAGTGGATCACGAGGTTAGGAGATCGAGACCATTCTGGCTAACACGATGAAACCCCATCTCTACTAAAAATACAAAAAATATTAGCTGGGCATGGTGGCATACACCTGTAGTCCCAGCTACTCAGGAGGCTGAGGCAGGAGAATGGCTTGAACCCAGGAGGCGAAAGTTGCAGTGAGCCGAGATTGAGCCACTGCACTCCAGCCAGGGCTACAGAGCGAGACTCTATCTCAAAAAGAAAGAAAAAACAGTGACGAGTATGAAGCCCAAGTGATCCTCCTACCTCAGTCTCTTGAGTAGCTGGTATGTACCACCACGCCCAGCTAATTTTTTATTTTTGTAGACACAGGGTCTCCCTATATTGCCCAGGCTGAGTTTGAACTTCGTGCTTCCAACTCCCAAAGCAATTCTCCTGCCTTGGGAGGGAGCAATTCTACCACCTTGGCCTCCCAAAATGTCGGGATTACTAGTATGAGCCACTGTACCTGGCCAGATTATTTTTTTCATATATGGAAGGCTAATCCAGGAATAGTGGCACATGCCTATAATCTCAGCTACCTGGGAGGCTAGAGCAGGAGGATCGCTTGAGCCCAGGAGTTGGAAGCTGTAACGTACTACAATTGTACCTGTGAAAAGCCACTGCACTCAGGTCTAAGCAACATAGGGAGATTCTATCTCTAATCTTCCTATTTAATGGTTTTTATCAAATTTTAGGAAATAAATTTAAACAAATATAGATAAGTGATAGAACTTAATAAGGAAAATAAATATCTTTTGTTCCCTAGAGATATTTATTTATTTACTTGTTTTTCATTTTATTTCTTTATTTTTCTTGAGATAGAGTTTTGTTCTTGTTGCCCAACCTGGAGTGTAATGGTGCAATCTCAGGTCACTGCAACCTCTACCTCCCAGGTTCAAGCAATTCTCCTGCCTCAGCCTCCCAATTAGCTGGGATTACAGGCATGTACCACCATGCCCAGCTAATTTTTGTATTTTTTTTTAGTAGAGATGGGGTTTCACCATGTTGGCCAGGCTGGTCTCCAACTCCTGACCTCAGGTGAGCCGCCCACCTCCGCCTCCCAAAGTGCTGGGATTACAGGCGTGAGCCACCATACTTGGCCATTCCCTAAAGATATTTAAGTTGAAAATATTTAGGTGTATTTTTCTTTATGGGGCATAAGAAATAATAGGCAAAAGTATAATGATATATAATGTTTAAAGTTCTAGCCTTTAAAGTACCTTTCATTTTAGGTACTCTGTTTTTCATTTTCTCCCTGTTACCTTTTGTTGTCTCAATTAAAGTAGAAAATAATAATTTCATGTTATAAAAAATTTTAAATTAATTTTCAAAAAAGCAATGAAAACTCAGTTTTAATGTTAAATGTGTAGTGGTTTGAAAGCAAAACTTTTTTTTTTTGAGACAAGCTCTGGCTCTCTTGCCCAGGCCAGAAATACAATAGCATAATCTTGGCTCATTGTAATCTCAAACTCTTCTGCTCAAGCAATCCTCCTATTTCAGCCTCCCCAGTAGATGGGACTGCAGAGAGTAGCACCCCTATGCCCAATTAACTTTTTAAATTTTTTGGTAGAGATGAGGTCTCATATTTACTCAGCCTGGTCTTGAACTCCTGGGCTCAAGCAATCCTCCCACTTTGGCCTCCTAAAGCATTGGGATTACAGGTATGTGAGTCACAGCACTAGGCCTGATGGTAAAACTCTTTAGGGTTTTCAAAATATCTGGAGAAAGAAGAGTACTTTTCAAAATTCAACATAGGATGCTGAGTAGACCTAATCACTACTAATATCCTTCTTTTGAGAATTTTGACTTAAAACAAAACGTCAAGAAATCAATAATTTGATATATGAAAATATCTTTTTAGCAGAGAAGACATTGCTCTAGAATTGTGCCCAATTCCAATGACTCTAGCAGTATGGAAAGAATTTTTAGTGTAACAGGTAATAAATTCATGTAATATAATTTTCAAAATAACAATGAAAATATGGCACTAAACTAGTAAAACACAAAATTTGTATTTCTTCTTATGTTCCTTTAAAAATATTTTTTAGGAGAGCATTTTCAAAAAAGTAGAAATTCGTAAAAACTGGGCAGGGCATGGTGGCTCACACTTCTAATGCCAGCACTTTGAGAGGCTGAGGTGGTAGATTATCCAAAGTCACAAGTTTGAGACCAGCCTGGCAAACATAGTGAAATCCTGTCTCTACTAAAAATGCAAAAATTAGCTGGGCATGGTGGTACACAACTGTAATCCCAGCTACTTGGGAGGCTGAGAAAGAAGAATCACTTGAACCCAGGAGGTGGAGGCTGCAGTGAGCTGAGATTGTGCCACTGAACTCAAGCCTGGGTGACAAAGTGAGACTCCGCTTCCAAAAAAAAAAGGAATTAATAAAAACAAAACAATCTTAACAATCTAATAGGGGAGTTAAGTAAACTCTGTTAAATACAGTGTTAGGACACTCCACATTAAGGGCTAATGATAAAAGGAAATGGGAGTACACAGGAAAACCTTCTGACCTAAACTGTGGTAAGGGACAGTCAGAGAAGGCTTTCCAGGCCAGGCGCAGTGACTCACACCTGCAATCTCAGCACTTTGGGAGGCCGAGGCAGGATCACCTAGGTCAGGCGTTCGAGATCAGACTGGCCAAAATGGTGAAACAACATCTCTACTAAAAATATAAAAATTAGCCAGATGTGGTAATTAATCCATTTATGTATTAATGGGTTATCATAGACTGGAACTGGTGGCTTTATAAAAGGAGGGAGAGAGACCTGAGCAAGGATGCTCAGCCCTCTTACCCTGTGATATCCTACTCTGCCTTGGGACTCTTCAGAGAGTCTCCACCAGCAAGAAGGCCCTCACCAGATGTAGTCTCTCAACCTTGGACTTCTCAGCCTCTGTAACTGTAAGAAATAAATTCCTTTTTAAAAATAAATTACCTACCTTAGGGTATTCTGTTGTAAGCAAGAGAACACAGACTAATACAGGTGGTTTCAGGAAGTAGGGAGAGGACAACAATGTCAAATGCTATCCAGATGTCACTAAAGTAGGGACTGAAAAGTACTGTGTGATCAACAATTAAGTCATTGGAAACTTTACAAGAGCACTTTCAGGACAGCAGAAAAGTTAATCAGATAGTAGTAGGATAATGAGTAGGAGGTTAGGAAACACAGTGGAACGCTTTAAGAACCTTTACTAACATATTGTTGTCAATGAATTATGTAACCAACTTATATAATGATTTTTAGTAAGTTCCTTCCTGGAGATTTAACATATAATTGACAGGACTTGATGATCAATTGATGTTAAACTACCTAACAAATTTACATCTTCATGTCACCCTCTGTTCCCCTTCTAGTAATAACAGCATCAAAAAATACATATATTTTAGTCTTTACAATGTTATCTGATAGCCCAAATTAATTTATAAGAAAAGCATTAAATGATTCCACAAAAATATTATTTATACATTTTGAGAATTCAGACTATTACTAGTTTCCTTTTTATTAAGGAACAGGTAATGATGGAATGTGAATGTGGCTTCTGAGTAGGTGACCGTATGTCTATGTTTGCCTGGGACTACCTGGGTATGATCCTATTTTTCCTCCTATAGCATTCCCTTCTCTTCAAAAGTGTTCTGGCTTACACAATAAAGCATATGGTCACCTTACTTAATAAGCCTCTTTCAAGGAACTATTATCTCGTTATTGCTGTAAAGACTAAACCATAGAATACCAAAGAGACTCTTTAGAAAATGCTTAACTACATAAGAATTACTACACTGTAGTTACTAAGGGAAAAATAGATTGAAATATACAAACCTTTTGGAGATATGGCCATATGGACATTATCACTATAGAGAACCCTGTGAAGAGGCAAACTAGGTTATTTGTACTCATAATAATTTAATCACTATTACAGATACAATTTTCTGTACTGTGGCATGGATTTTAAAATATCATTCTGAACCTAAAATTTACACATACAAATGCCTAAATTATCAAGCAACAAGATTTTAATTATCAGAAAGAAAATAAATACTAAGAGAACATACAATTACAGTCCCTCATCATAATTGATAATGAATACAAAAAAAGAGAGGATCTATGTCTCCATACTCATGTGCTTTACTGTAAATGGAAATAATGAAAAGCTTTAAGTTTTTACAGCAAAAATGGGGGAAAGGCTACTTTGTTAGACAGGAAGTGCTAGGCTTCTATCCTGTGTTGTTTGGAGGAGATAATTGACTGAAGGGAAAACTAGGAATAAGGAAAATGATCATCTACATGGGGGTTATAGTAAACCAGGATACTTCAAGATGGCTATACCTTAAAAGAAAATTCACTATTTCTGCTACTCTTTACTGCTTGAAAACTGTAATGATTAACTGCAACACTATCTGTCAATTTTTATTTATTTATTTACTTTTCAGCTTCCTCAGGTTGACTTTTTCTTTTTTTTTTTAATCTGTCAATTTTAAATGGTAGGCAGATGCAGCCAGATGCGGTGACTCACCCCTGTAATACCAGCAGGGTGAGGCAGGCAGATCACCTGAGGTCAGGAATTCGAGACCAGCCTAGCCAAAATAGTGAAACCCTGTCTCTACTAAAATATAAAAATGAGCCAGGCATGGTGGTACATGCCTGTAATCCCAGCTACTCAAGAGGCTGAGGCAGAAGAATTGCTTGAACCCAGGAAACGGAGTAACTTGTATTAGCCAAGATTACAACACTGCACTCCAGCCTGGGTGACAGAACAAGACTCCATCTCAATAAAATAAAAAATGAAAAATAAATAAATGTTAGGCAAATCCATTAGGAAATTCTATAAAGACTGTTCTTAAAAATGGCTTTACTGAGGCTAGACACGGAAGCTTATGCCTATAATCCCAGAACTTTAGGAGGCCGAGGTGGGTAAATCACTTGAGGCCAGGGATTTGAGACCAGCCTGGCCAACATGGTGAAACTCCGCCTCTACAAAAAAAAAATACAAAAATTAGTTGGGCATGGTAGCACATGCGTTGTACTCCCAACCACTCGGGAGGCTGAGGCAAGAGAATCACTTGAACCTGGAGATGGAGGTTGTAGTTGTTTTTGTTATTGGTTCTGTTCATGTGATGGATTATGTTTATTGATTTGTGTATGTTGAACCAGCCTTGCATCCTAGGGATGAAGCCGAATTGATAGTGGTGGATAAGTTTTTTGGTGTGCTGCTAGATTTGGTTTGCCAGTATTTTACTGAGGATTTTCATATTGATGTTCATCAGGGTTATTGGCTTGAAACTTCCTTTTTTTGTTGTGTCGCTGCCAGATTTTGGTATCAGGATGATGCTTGCCTCATAAGATGAGTTAGGGAGGATTCCCTCTATTTCTATTGCATGGAATAGTTTCAGAAGGAATGTTACCAGCTCCTCTCTGTACCTCTGGTACAATTTGGCTGTGAATCTGTCTGGTCCTGGGTTTTTACTGGGTGGTAGGCTATTAATTCCTGCCTCAATTTCAGAACTTGTTATTGGTCTATTCAGGGATTCAACTTTTTCCTAGTTCAGTCTTGGGAGGGTGTATGTGTCCAGAAATTTATCCATTTCTTTTAGATCTCCTAGTTTATTCGCATAGAGGTGTTCATAGTATTCTCTTTGTATTTCTGTGGAATCAGTGGTGATACCCCCTTTATCATTTTTTTTATTGAGTCTATTTGATTCTTCTCTCTTTTCTTCTTTATTAGTCTGGCTAGCGGTCTATTTCGTTGATCTTTTCAAAAAACCAGCTCCTGGATTCATTGATTTTTTTGAAGGTTTTTTTTGTGTCTCTATCTCAAGTTCTGCTCTTAGTTATTTCTTGTCTTCTGCTAGCTTTTGATTTTGTTTGCTCTTGCTTCTCTAGTTCTTTTAATTGTGATGTTAGCACACAATGGGTCTGATTTTAAGGTATTGATTTTAGATCTTTCCTCCTTTCTCTTGTGGGCATTTAGTGCTATAAATTTCCCTCTACACACTGCTTTAAATGTGTCCCAGAGATTCTGGTACACTGCATCTTCATTCTCATTGGTTTCAAAGAACATATTTATTTCTGCCTTCATTTCATTATTTATCCAGTAGTCATTCAGAAGCAGGTTGTTCAGTTTAGTCTGAAAGACTGTTTGATATGATTTCCATTCTTTTGCATTTGCTGAGGAGTGTATTACTTCCAATTATGTGGTCAATTTTAGAATAAGTACAATGTGGTGCTGAGAAGAATGTATATTCTGTTGATTTGGGGTGGAGAGTTCTGTAACTGTCTGTTAAGTCCACTTGGTCCAGAGCTGAGTTCAAGTCCTGGATATCCTTGTTAATTTTCTGTCTTGTTGATATAATATTGACAATGGGTTGTTAAAGTCTCTATTATTGTGTGAGTCTAAGTCTCTTTGTAAGTTTTTCAGAATTGCTCCTGGATTGGGTATGTATATATTTAGGATAGTTAGCTCTTCTTGTTTCACTGGTCCCTTTACCATTATGTAATGCCCTTGTCTCTTTTGATCTGTTAGTTTAAAGTCTGTTTTATCAAGTCCAGGATTACAACCCCTGCTTTTTTTTTTTTTCCTTTCCATTTGCTTGGTAAATACTCCATCACTTTATTTTGAGCCTATGTGTGTCTCTGCATGTGAGATGGGTCTTCTGAATACAGCACACCAATGGGTCTTGACTCTTTATGCAATTTGCCAGTCTGTGTCTTTTAATGGGGCATTTAGTCCATTTACATCTAAGGTTAATATTGTTATGTGTGAATTTGATCCTATCACTATGATTCTAGTTGGTCATTTTGCCCGTTAGTTGATGCAGATTCTTCATAGTGCTGTTGGTCTTTACAATTCAGTATGTTTTTGCAATGGCTGGTACCAGTTGTTCCTTTCCATGTTTAGTGCTTACTTGAGGAGCTCTTGTAAGGCAGTCCTGGTGGTGACAAAATCTCTCAGCATTTGCTTGTCTGTAAAGGATTTTATTTCTCCTTCACTTATGAAGTTTAGCTTGGCTGGATATGAAATTCTGGGTTGAAGATTCTTTTAAGAATGTTGAATATTGACCCCCCACTTTCTTCTGCCTTGTAGGGTTTCTGCAGAGAGATCCCTTGTTAGTCTGATGGGCTTCCCTTTGTAGGTAACCCCACCTTTCTATCTTCCCTTAACATTTTTTCCTTCATTTCAACCTTAGTGAATCTGACGATTATGTGTCTTGGAGTTGCTCTTCTCAAGGAGTGTCTTTGTGGTGTTCTATTTCCTGAATTTGAATATTGGTCTCCCTTGCTAGGTTGGGAAGTTCTCCTGGATAATATCCTGAAGAGTGTTTTCCAATGTGGTTCCATTTTCCCTGTACACCGATCAAATGTACATTTGGCTTTTTCACATAGTCCCATATTTCTTGGAGGCTTCATTTGTTTTTCACTTTTTTCTCTAATCTTGTCTTCTCACTTTATTTCATTTAGAAATATTTCATTAGATCTTCAATCTCTGCTATCCTTTCTTCTGCTTGATCTATTTGGCTATTGATACTTGCATATGCTTCTTGAAGTTCTCATGCTGTGATTTTCAGCTCCGTTAGGTTATTTATGTTCCTCTCTAAACTGGTTATTCTAGTTATTCTAGTTAGCAATTCATCTAACCTTTTTTCAAGGTTCATAGCTTCCTTGCATTGCGTTAGAACATCTCCTTTAGCTTGGAAGAGTTTGTTATTACCCACCTTCTGAAGCCTACTTCTGGCAATTCATCAAACTCACTCTCCATCCAATTTTGTTCCCTTGCTGGTGAGGAGTTGTGATCCTTTGGAGGAGAGGAGGCATTCTGGTTTTTGGAATTTTCCGACTTTTTATGCTGGTTTCTCCCCATCTTTTATCTACCTTTGGTCTTTGATGCTGGTGACCTTTCAGTGGGGTATCTGAGTGGATGTCCTTTTTGTTGATGTTGATATTCCTTTCTGTTTGTTAGTTTTCCTTCTAGCAGGCCCCTCTGCTGCAGGTCTGTTGGAGTTTGCTGGAGGTCCACTCCAGACCCTGTTTGTCTGGGTATCACTAGTGGAGGATGGAGAACAGCAAAGATTGCTGGCTGTTCCTCTGGAAGCTTTGTTCCAGAGGAGCAGCCACCAGATGCCAGCCAGAGATCTCCTGTATGAGGTGTCTCTCAGCCCCTATTGGGAAGTGTCTCTTAGGATACACAGGGGTCAGGGACCCATTTGAGGAGGCTGTCTGTCCCTTACCAGAGCTCAAATGCTATGCTGGGAGATCCGCTGCTCCCTTCAGAGCTGTCAGGTAGGGATGTTTAAGTCTGCTGAAGCTGTGCCCACATCCGCCCCTTTCCCTAGGTGCTCTGTCCTAGGGAGATGGGGGTTTTATCTATAAGTCCCTGACTGGGGCTGCTGCCTGTTTTTCGGAAATGCCCTGACCAGAGAGGAGGAATCTAGAGAGGCAATCTGGCTGCAGCGGCCTTGCTGAGCTGCAGTAGGCTCTGCCCAGTTGGAACTTCCCAGTGGCTTTGTTTACACTGTAAGGGTAAAACTGCCTAATCAAGCCTCAGCAATGGCGGATGCCCCTCCCCGCACCAAGCTCAAGCATCCCAGGTCGATCTCAGACTGCTGTGCTGTCAGTGAGAATTTCAAGCCAGTGGATCTTAGCTTGCTGGGCTCATGGATGTGGGTGCTGAGCTAGACCAGCTGGCTCCCTTTCCAGGGAAGTGAACAGTTCTGGCTTGCTGGTGTTCCAAGTGTCACTGAGATATGGAAAAAAAAAAAAAAAAAAACCTCCTGCTGCTATCTTGGTGTCTGTCCAAACAGCCACCCAGATTTGTGCTTGAAACCGAAGGCCCTGGAGGCATAGGCACTGAAGGGAATCTCCTGGTCTGCCAGTTGTGAAGACTATGGGAAAAGCTTAGTATCTGGGCCAGAATGCACCATTCTTCCCAGTACAGTCTCTTACAGCTTCCCTTGGCTAGGTAAGGGAAATCCCCCAATCCCATGCGCTTCCTGGTGAGGTGGTGCCCCACCCTGCTTTGGCTCACCCTCCATGGGCTGCACCCATTGTCCAACAAGTCCCAGTGAGATGATCTGGGTACCTCAGTTGGAAATGCAGAAATCACCCACCTTCTGCATCGATCTCACTGGGAGCCACAGACCAGGCTGTTCCTATTTGGTCAACTTGCCAGCCCCACCCTCCCCTTTTTTTCTGAGACAGAGTCTTGCTCTGTCGCCAAGGCAGAAGTGTAGTAGCATGATCTTGGCTCACTGCAACCTCTGCCTCCTAGGTTCAAGTGATTCTCCCACCTCAGCCTCCCAGGTAGCTAGGATTACAGGCACCCACCACCAAGCCCGGCTGATTTTTGTATTTTTAGTAAAGACAGGGTTTCACCATGTTAGCCAGGCTGGCCTTGAACTGCTGACCTCAGGTGATCTGCCTGCCTCGGCCTGCCAAAGTGCTGAGATTACAGGCATGAGCCACCATGCCCAGCCCTGCACAAGGCATTCTGATACACAATGCAAGGTGAAACTGTATTACAAAAAATTACTGAAAATATCCTTTATCGTTCACTTTTCTTTTTACCCAGTATTAAATCATGCACAAGTGTGGATGACTGGGGTAAACAGAAAATATACAAAAAATAATTTAGTAAAATGACCTTCTTTAAATTCCTCTTAGGGAAAGAGACCCCTTATAATATTAGTGCCTATAGATTTAGAGGGTTGCAACTTGTAAAAAAATTCATTTCCTAAAACAGTCCTTTAAAAACTATTACAATATTGATCATTTCCTATACATTCTCATCCCATCCATTTAACATGGTTATATGTTCATATTTTGAAAAGTTTTCCTCATGAAGTTTTACTTTTCAGGAACTACATATTCAGAAATAATGGGAATAGGTTAAAATACATCAAGCAATACAAATTAAGATTCTTGTATTTTACTGTTTCTATGTTGTATCAATATAAAAATAAGATGAAGTTCACAGACAACAAAAGAAAAAAACAGCTGAGTGCAGGGCTCATGCCTGTAATCTCAGCACTTTCTGAGGCCAAGGCGGGTAGATTACCTAAGGTCAGGAGTTTGACACCAGCTTGGCAAAAATGGCAAAACCCTGTCTCTACTAAAAATACAAAAATTAGCCAGGTGTGGTGGCACACATCTTCAGTCCCAGCTACCAGGGAGGGTGAAGCACAAGAATCACTTGAACCTAAAAGGCAGAGGGTGCAGTGAGCCAAAATCGTGCCATTGCACTACAGCCTGGGCAACAACTCAAGACTCTATCTTTAAAAAAAAAAAAAAAAAAGCAGAGGTTGTGGTGAGCCGAGATCATGCCATTGCCGAGATCGTGCCATTGCACTCCAGCCTGGGTAACAAGAATAAAACTCCATCTAAAAAAAAAAAAAAAAAAAAACAGATAAGGTGGACTATATCAATATTTAATACTTCTGTAAATCCCAGGATACATCTAGTAGCACACTGAATCTAACAGTACTGGAATAGGAGAAAATATTTGCAAATCATATAGTGCTTAAAAGGCTAACATCCAGAATATATGAAGAACTCCTACAACTCAACAAAAACCCAAAAAATCTAATTAATAATGGACAAACATTGAACAAACACTTCTCCAAAGAAGATACACAAATGAACAGTAAGCACAAGAAAAATGTTCAACATCATTAATCATTAAGGTTATGCAAATCAAAACAGTGAGATACCATCTCATCCATAAGGATGACTATAATCAAAAACAAACAAAACAAAAAAAACCCAGAAATTTAATGTTGGCAAGGATGTGAAAAAATTGGAACCCTGACTGTTGATAGGAATGTAAATAAAATGGTGTGGCTGCTACAGAAAACAGTATGGTAATTTTTCAAAAAATTATAAAGAAAATTATAATATGATCCAGCAATTTCACTCCTGGGTATATACCCAAAAGGACTGAGAGAGAGCACTATTCACAATAGCCAAGGGGTGGAAACAACCCATCTGTCCATTGACAAATAAATGGCTAAACGAAATGTGGCATACACTGAAGGGGATCCGAGTACGCTACTCCAAAAATATGCTGTTTTGCCATTTTAATTATTTCAAGCTGAAGGCAACTAGAAATAGCAGATGTAGGAAGGGGTCTCTGCTCTCCTTCTTTCTGCCTAAATGTAGAGAATAGATTGAATTTTGTTTTGTTTTTAGTTCTTTGAGACACAACTGAAATTCTGTCTTGGGACATTAAGGCACTGGTCTAATTAAGACTGCTGACTTAAACTTACGAAATTTTACACTGGCTAGGTGCAGTGGCTCAAGCCTGTAATCCCAGCATTCTGGGAGGCCAAGGAGGTTGGGAGCATCACCTGAGGTAAGGAGTTTGAGACCAGATTGACAAACATGGCAAAACCCCGTCTCTACTAAAAATACAAAAAAATTAGTCAGGCATTGTGGCACATGCCTGTAGTCCCAGCTACTTGGGAGGCTGAGGGATGAGAATTGCTTGAACCTGGGAGGCAGAGGTTACAGTGAGCCGAGATCTTACCATTGCACTCCAGCCTGGAAAACAGAGTGAGACTCTATGTCCAAAAATAAATAAATAAATAAAAATTTTTGAAAAGAAATTTTGTACATTTTCAAGTAGCAGCAAAACAAATTATTCACTGATGGCTGTAAAGATAAAATACTTTTGGCCAGGTGCAGTGGCTCATGCCTGTAATCCCAGCACTTTGAGAGGCTGAGGGTGGCAGATCATCTGAGGTCAGGAGTTTGAGACTAGCCTGAACAACATGGAGAAACCCGTCTCTACTAAAAATACAAAACTAGTCAGGTGTGGTGGTGCATGCCTGTAATCCCAGCTACTTGGGAGGCTGAGGCAGTAGAATCGCTTGAACCTGGGAGGTGGAGGTTGCAGTGAGCCGGGATAGCGCCATCACACTCCAGCCTGGGCAACTTCATCTCGAAAAAAAAAAAAAAAGATGAAATACTTTTCTGAGTACATAAAAGTGTTAGGTAGGGACTCTTAGCAATTGTCTAGTTTCATTTGTATGTACACTCCTTAATACTGTTTTTTGTTTCTTTTCATTAAAAAATATTAACATCAAATACATTTGTAAACTTTATTATTACTATAATTATTTTTAGACAGAGTCTTGCTCTGTCACCCAGGCTGGAGTGTAGTGGCCTGATCTCAGCTCACTGCAACCTCCACCTCCTGGGTTCAAGCTGTTCTTCTGCCTCAGCCCCCCCAGTAGTTGGGATTATAGGCGTGTACCAACATGCCCAGCTAATTTTTATTATTTTTAGTAGAGATGGGGTTTCACCATATTGGCGAGGCTGGTCTCAGACTCCTGACCTCATGATCCACCTGCCTCAGCCTCCCAAGTGCTGGGATTACAGGCGTGAGCCACTGTGCACAGCCAAATTTTTTAACTGTTAGTCCTTCTTTTGTCAGCTTAATTCATAGGCCTCAGGCACATAACATAAGAGAACAGAGGAAAAGTTTTTCCTACCCTACGGTACATATAATGGGCTACACAGCCTTTAAATAAAAGGAAATTATCAATCCCAGCAGTTTGAGTGGCCGAGGTGGGTGGATCACAAGGTCAAGAGTTGAAGACCAGCCTGGCCAAGATGGTGAAATCCTGTCTCTATTAAAAATACACAAATTAGCTGGGCATGGTGGCGGGCACCTGTAATTCCAGCTACTCATGAGGCTAAAATGGGTGGATCACGAGGTCAGGAGTTCAAGACCAGCCTGGCCAAGATGGTAAAACCCTGTCTCTACTAAAAATGCAAAAATTAGCTGGGCATGGTGGCGGGCACCTGTAATCCCAGCTACTTGGGAGGCTGAGGCAAAGAATTGCTTGAAACCAGAAGGCGGAGGTTGCAGTGATGCAATGAGCTGAGATCGTGCCACTGCACTCCAGCCTGGGCAACAGAGTAAAACATCATCTCAAAAAAAATAGAAAATTCTCACAAATGCAACTTGAGGACATGAGGTTGAGTGAAATAAGCTTGCCACAGAAGAAAAATATTATATAATTAATTTATATAAGCTATCTAGAGTAGTCAAATTCCAAGAAACAAAGTAGAATGATGGTTGCCAGGGGCCGGGCGATAGGAAAATAGGGAGTTGTTTCATGGGTATAGATTTTCTCTTCTGTAAGATGAAAATGTTCTAGAGATTGGCTGCACAACAATGTGGATATACTTAAGGCTATTGAACTTAGATACGGTAACATGACAAATTTTATATTATACACTTTTTAACATAAAAATAATTTTTAAAAGGTAAATGAAGTTAAAATATGACATTTGACCTGAATTGTTAAAATCATGTATTTCTAATACTCACCTACACTGCTGAGAAACATAGTAAGATATAAAATCCTAATAGATCTCCATCGGCTCTTATAATGCTCTTCAGTCTCTAAAATGTCCCATTCTCTAGGTATAATGAAGAAAAAAGTAGAATAAATTTATCTCATTACAGGTGGATCTTTAGGGCTAACAATTTTGTTTTCTCCTAAAGTTATAAAAATGATGTGACAGAGGCAGAATTTACTTATATTGGTTCTGCTGCACTAATTTATGAATAAGCATTATTCTTTTGAATGTCCATGGATTGTATTTATGTATCATTGTATATAGAAATCTGGGAAACAGTATAGTTTTTAAAGGGGAAACATTTTGCAAGGCAATTATTTTGCTGCTGTTGGCATGCACAAATTTATTAATCAAGAGTGTTGTAATTTGTAAAACTAACAATGAATAAACTATATCAAGATAAACTAACTACAACTAGATCTCCCATAGCTACTAAGTACTAAAAACTAATAACTGTAATCAGTATAACATGCTCTACTTGATGACAGCAAATTAAATTGCTGCAGGCAGCTGTTTTGGCTTCCTACTTCAGAAAACAGAAGTGATACCAGGACGTTTAACATAACCTAATACAGGCTGGCGCAGGTGGCTCATGCCTGTAATCCCAGCACTTTGGGAGACTGAGGCAGGAGGATCACGAGGTCAGGAGATCAAAACCATCCTGGCTAACATAGTGAAACCCCGTCTCTACTAAAAATACAAAAAATTAGCCGGGCATGGTGGCATGCATCTGTAATCCCAGCTACTTGGGAGGTGAAGGCAGGAGAATCGCTTGAACCCAGGAGGCAGAGGTTTCAGTGAGCTGAGATCACGCCATTGCACTCCAGCCTAGGAGACCCAGTGAGACTCCATTTCAAAAAAAAAAACCTAAGACATTTTCAGCTTTCGGATCTCCTATATGAGTTTACAGATAAATTTACCAGCAGACCAAAGAGAAACCATGACCCTCCAGACTTCACTGATCTTTCAGATAAGCATCTGACCTGTCCAAGGGCATGTATACTAACTAGACATCCTACCTCCATTAGGTGACACATACAATAGAAAGAGTTAACAAGTTTATCTTAATGTGAGCATTATCTTTTCAAAATAATCAAGACATGCAGAACAGACAAAATGCCTTCTTATGTTCCAAGATTAGTTTCCTATAAATAAATCTTACTAAGAAGTGTCAATTTGTCTCCAAAAATATAACTTTTTTTTTTCAAATGTGATACGGTTGGGAGAGATAAAGAAGAAAGGAAGAGAAACAATATTTTTTAGATGTCTTATATGCCAAATGTATTAGTTTGTAACATAAAGTGTTTAACACTGTATATATCATTCCATAGAAACAAGCCTCTTCTGAGTCAAAGGAGAGTAGGTAAGAAAAAAATAAAAGACCTTAATGATAATGTAGCTTACCTGAAAAAATACCAGAACCCCAGATGCCCATACTTTGAAATCAATATACTAGAATTTGAACAAAAAATCAGATATATCTAAATTAGGGAATCAAGAAGTAAATTATTTGATTCCAAAAATAACACAATTGTTTGAGGGCCTTCAAACTGATTTAGAGCTCAGTCAAAATCTTTCTTCTTTTAATGACAATTATTAAATACTGAAAGGATAAAATTAGAAAATAATAATTTAATGGCTACTTTCTATGAAATAATAGAAGAATCACCAATGGATGCTGAAACAACTGGTTCAAAGATTGTTAAGGAGAGGATAGTCAAAAGCCCCCAAGTGCCACTCCGGTGTCTGCTTACTAATTACAAAATGGAACACTAACCTATATAATTCAAAGATATAGCAGTCACCCTCTTAACAAGTGGTCATATTTGACATTCCCAAAAGTAGAATGTCCTGGCATCCTGAACCTTTTGATGTAATGTATTGGGATGTTCTCAACGCAACCCATGTGATATTCCTGCCAGAAAGGGCCAGGGTCTATTTTGAAATAAACAGTCCATAAATCCAGAATATGAGACGTTCTACAGAAAAACTGACCTAGACTCTTCAAATTTTTAATGGTGACAAGAACAGAGATAGGTCAAAGGAGAGTTTTAGGTTAGAGGAGTCTAAAAAGACATAACAATGAATGCATAAACATTGATTAGCTCCTCCATATGGCTGCTGGTTTTTTTGTTTTTGTTTTTATAAAGAATATAAAGTATATTTTTGGAACAATTGAAAAAACATTGAGTATTAATTATATATTACATGACATTCTTGAATTAATACTGTATTTCTAGTTGTGGTAACAGTGATGGAGTTGGGTAAAAGAATTTCTTTGTTCTTGGGAGATGTAAGCTGCAATCTGGGATACTTGGGACACAGTGTCACAATGTCTGCAACCTACTTTTGAGTAGTTTGGCAAAAGAAGTGTTGTGGGTGTGTGGGTGTGTGTGAACCCACAGAAAAATTTCAGCAGTGTGGAAAAGGCTAACAGTGACAGGATATAGAGTGTTCATGATTTTTTCAACTTTTCTATGGATTTAACATTTTTCAAAATAAAACAATTTACTTTTCCTTCTTTTTAATTAAAAAATTATAACTTCAGTGAAAAAAATTTATCTTTCTACTTTGTTGGAGATTGTAGAAATATAGGAGAATGCAACTGTCCTTCAACGAATTGACCATATTTATTACATTTTCTTAATCTGGATGATTCAGACAAATGTGTCACATGCCTAAGATTAAATTTCCAGAGGTTTCTTTCTTGTATTACCAGGGTATAAACAGGAATGCTGCATTTTCAAGATGATTTGCTTAACTTTTAAAATTCCTTTCTATAATTACTGTTGTATTCCAGCATTAGTTCCCCATATGAAATTCTCCTTCCAGTAAAACTGTAGTGCTACAGTTTTATACTGTTCAACATTTCTATCACAAACTGAAATACTCCAAATGATAGCATGCTTGTCAAACTTGTGACTTAAAAACTAAAAGGAATACATCATATAGCGGAGTGAACTGATTTAGCAAAATGAGTTAGATAAAATTTAACAATGGCCAGGCGCCATGGCTCACACATGTAATCCCAGCAGTTTGGGAGGCCAAGGCGGGTGGACTACTTGAGGTCAGGAGTTTGAGACCAGCGTGGCCAACATGGTGAAACCCCAACTCTACTAAAAATACAAAAATTAGCTGGGCATGGTGGCAGGCGGCTATAATCCCAGCTACTCGGGAGGCTGAGGCAGGAGAATCACTTGAACCTGGGAGGCATGGGTTGCAGGGAGGTGGAGGATGCAGTGAGCCAAGATTTTGCCATTGCACTTCAGCCTGGGCGACAAAGTGAGACTCTGTCTTAAAAAAAAAAAAAAAAAAAAAGAGAGCGAGAGAGAAAAGAAAGAATTGTGTGCTCACTGACAGAAGAGCGTAGTGGTATAACAGTTACAAAAATAAAAAGACAAACTGAAAATATTCTATAAAGATATGCTCTATAAGGATAGATGTCCTAATAATACAAATTTTACAGAGACTAGGCTAAGGTTGCAAGGAAAATTTGAAACCACTTGTAACACTGGATCAGTAACCTGTGAGCTACAAATGATTTTTACAGATGAATACTTGTTATCAGTTTGATGACAGAAAACACCTACTCTGAAGTACCAGTAATGAAAATGTCATCCCCTCCCCCACCAAATTCTATCCCTTTCATTAACAGACCTATATTATACTTATTTATTGTTATATTTTAAATGTCATTACAAAAAATTTTTGTGGAATTTGTTTTCTGGTTATCTAAATATCTATATAATATCTTTGATTTTGCCCCTTGCCCTGAACCATCCTAAAATATTTACAATATGGGCCTTTATAGGAAATGTTTGCCAACTCCTGTTGTCTTAAGTAAAGCTCCATAGAGGGGGTCAGTGGGAAGCACTGAGGATTTAAGAGGCCTAGCTCCACCAGACCAGCAAATAACAACCATTCTTGTTTGTGAGGAAAGGTTGGTGGTGACCCAGACATGTTTGTGCAATATATTCAAAGTGAATAGGTCCTGCCAACCAGTTGTACATAGGTTTACTTTACTAGGGAATATACTTGTGTTTTTAAAGACATATTGAATTATTTTCAAAATATTCCTTTTTTATTTTTAAAATGCTGAATCTAGAACCTCAATCAGAGGTATTGATTATTGGCAGGAACACCTAAATTTGGACAGATCCTAATGAGCATCAATTACTTGGATCAAATCAAAGCTAAGAGTATGAAAAAAATTTCTTTTGTACAAGGTGACAGAATGCACCGGAAGACCACACTTAACCATAACTCAGGGATCTTGCAATTTTTCTGGAAAATAGCTAAAAACCAGGAAGAAGCAACAAGAATTCTGAGAAAACCAAATGTCACAAAGTCCATGTACTCAAGCTTACGCACTTAACTAATAGGAAAGACATTTAGCTCTCAGTCAGAATTTCCAGGTTGTAATGACACACAATTATATTAAGCATAGATACAAGGTTATCAAAGCTATAACAAACAAGAAGCCCCAAAATAAAGCTGGTGGAAAGAGAATGGTGACAGCAACAACAACAACAAAAAACTGTTGCTGCCATATTTCAAAAACATGATGCAGAACAGTCTGCCAGAAACAGAATAGTCAGAAAAACTAAAAGCAGACATAAGTACTTAAAAAGTATAGCAGTGGGCCCAGTGTGGTGGCTCACACCTGTAATCCCAGCACTTTTGGAGGCTGAGGTGGGTGAATCGCTTGAGGTTAGGAGTTGGAGATCAGCCTGGCCACATGCTGAAACCCCGTCTTTACTAAAAATACAAAAATTATCTGGGTCTGGTGGCCTGCACCTGTAATCCCAGTTACTTGGGAGACTGAGGCAGGAGAATGGCTTGAACCTGGGGGGCAGAGGTTGCAGTGAGCCAAAATCCCACCACTGAACTCCAGCCTGGGCCACAGAGCGAGACTCCATCTCAAAAAAAAAAAAAAAAAAAAAAAAGCATAGCAGTGTAGAATAAATAAATTAGTATAGAAGCAAACAGTCCCAAATGTCTCAACAGGCTCTAAGGACATCACCCTGTTAAAATACATTTCAGCATCAATATTTATTTTA